ACCGTGTGCACAGAGATTGAGGTCAGAGATACTGTCTGCGATATGTGAATGAGAACCAGGGGACGGCGCAGCACAGGGAAGGCTGTGGCCATCTCTCAACCACCTAGGAAAGCAGTACTTAACGGAAGGGGTGAACTGACCTGCTGTGGGGATGGGCTTTGCCACGTGTGCCAGAAACGCAGGTCCAAACTGAGGAAGGCTGAGGCCGGCACTGACGATTTTTCGAAGCCTTAACTTTCAAGTGAGCTGTGTGAATGGGAGGGTCGGGGGACGGAGGCGTAAGGCCACAGGTAGCTGCAGGTTGGGCCTGCAGGAATGGCGCTGGGATGCTGGGAAAAGAGCATCAACGAATGTGCTGCCGGGGCAACGTTCCATGAGATGCCTTACCCAAAATGCACTGCCTGACCTGCTCCACTGCTGCACAGAGTTCATCCTGGAGCTGATGATCACAGAGCAGTTCATCTTCACTTTACCTTCAAGAGACTTGAGAGCCATCCACCAGCGCTGAAATCGGCAACAAAAAAGTACAACCATTGGCAGCCTGGGAGCCTGAGGGGACTTTTGCAGTTGCAGTACTTAAAAAAGCAATCAATGAATCCAGATTGCTTTCTTCATCGGTATTCTCTCAGGCAAGTTTGCCATGTCCCAGCTGCTGCCACCCACTGCACTCATGGTCTCTTCATTCTTGCAGTCTTCAGGAATCCACCTCTGCCCCTAAGGCAGCCCTACTTCCAAACTGTAAGCGCTTCACATATTGATCTGTAGCATGACTAATTGTTGCTCATAAACTGCTTTTTCCTCAAAAAGACTCCAGTTACTTCCAAGGTACTGGAGAGTCTAAATATTGAACCATTTGCAATCATTACATGATTGGTACTTGATGATTCTTTCATACAAAAATTAAACAATTTTGATTTCCCCTGGCTATAGCATCTAAATGAGAGGAGACAGCAAGCAATCAGGGAAAAAACACATGCGACAAACTGAGGAAAAAAAGATGTATTTTCTACTTAGAAACTGAAAAAAAAAAATAAAAAAAATCAGAGCTATTTTTTTCCATTTACAAACATTTCTCCTAATGCTCTAGAGGCCTCTGCCAGGAAAGGGCTGGGTAGTGAATGGATTTTAACTTCAGGAACCTACTAAAACTCTCTTCTGGCCCTTTTCACTGCCTTTTAAATATATTTTTCCCGTTCTCCTTGCTCTAAGCCAGGCATTCTAGATGAAAAGAGGCTGAGGCAGCCCACCGGGTTCTCATCAACTCTCTCAGCCTCTAACCAAACTTAGAGGTCAGTTTTCCTTTTATGCATCTGGAAAATGTAAGAGCCAAATTGAAGCTAAGATTAGAAAGCTTATTCACTCTTGCTGGTGCCTTCAGAATCAGGTAACAAACAAAAAAGAGTTAAGTGAGATACCAAGCAGCAAGGCTCTCCCAGGCCAGTAGGAACTCATCCTGTAGGTGCGCACTGGCAAAGGAATCAACTTAATGAAGTTTTGTCACATCTACAAAGGTGAACTTCATTAGGTGCAGACTGTGGAATACAATTTACATGGAAAGAGGACAGGCTCAGGCTCTGCTTTACACTGATCTGTGTATTAATGTCGGGCTTGGGCTCCAAGATCTCCTTCTGTCCTACTGGAAACACCCCAGGCCTGGTGGAGCCAGCTTCTGAAGAAGCAGGGAAGGGCAGGATGTCAGTGGGTCCAGACATCCCCAATAGACATGCCACTGTGCTGCGGAGAGCTGGGACTGTGGAGAGAGGCCTGGTCCCACCACAGATGGTACTGCCCGCTTTCTGAAGCCTCACAGGTACATTCTGAACAATGCCTTCAAACCTGATTTCACTGGTAGAGACTCTACTGTATCAGCCCCTCACACTAACCGACACAGACTGCAATCCCAAAATAATCACTTGGCAGCTGTAAAACGCACACGCTAATAATGAGCTCAAGTGGTGCCTCATGTCTGATCCCGTAATGTCGAAGAAAAGCATTATAGATGGAAACACTGCAAAATCAATCTGAAAATCTCTGGGCTCTGTTGATGAAATCAATTATCATCACCATAATCCAATGGGGACATCAGAGCATAGCGTATGAGCCCTTGTAAGCTGAAATCTGGCTGGAGTCTACTGCAGTCACACCAGAAGCCTCATGCAAAAAGCAGAGGTGCGGTAGGGGAATAAGAATAGAGATGGACTGGCACTGAGAAGGGCAGAGGTGCTCGCACATGCCTTATTTGAATGCCTGGTTCCCAGTTAGGCAAGTTCCAGCTCATTCTGCAGACAGCAGACAGGCTGGCACAGCTCTGCTTCTCACTCAAAGCTTGAGGCCCAAGCTCTGGCTTCTAGCACATGTGGAGACTCAGGCATGTTTGGTAATTTGACTCTTGACACTAAAGTCAGGCTGAAAAATACACCAGTAGAACGGTTTCTATTAACACAATCATTATTTACACAGAACATAGTGAAGGAAAGGATGGGAGGAAAAATTACTGTGTTTTGCTCTGGCCTCAGGCAGCATGGGAAGGCCCTGGCTGCCCGCAGCCTTGTCTCGCAGCACACTTGTCACTGATACTGCTCGAGAAGGTGACACAATGGCTTGAGGAGGAAGGTTTTAGCCCCAAATAAATGTTAGCCGAAAGGCACAGCGCAGTGCCTCCAGTAACAGGAGATAATTGGATGCTCTTTGATACACTGGCTGAATTCAACCTGTGAACAGCGAAAAATATGCACCATGCCTTGCGTTTTGATACAGGAATTGGGGAATGAGTTTCAAGATTGCAAAATAATCCATATTTTGTTATTCTTGTGACTCCATTTTCAGTCAGCATCAATACATTACCTGTGAATTTTCAGATGTACAGAGTTGCAATCAGACATTCAATTCAAAAATGTGATCTTGTCTCTTTACCAGACCTGCATAAGCCCTCTCCTACCAGAGAGACGTACCCCTCGCTCCAGTCATGCCTTACGCATGCAGTGCATACATTTGGGTGTTTTCAAGGAAGGAGCTCAGGAAGAGGATGCTTGCTTTACAATACATTGGGACCTCAATGTCACAAAACAAAGTAAGTCTATCTCTGGCCTCATAAAGCTATATTTTTCCCCGTGCGTATCTATCTTTTCAGCAAATACAGGCAGCCTTGTTTCTTACTAAGGATGCTCAGATGTAAATGTCAACAACGCACCACTGTGTTCCATTTCCTTATCTGAATCAAAACTGGCTGTTCAGACACTTCGGAAAAAAATGCTTTTCCAGTGCCCTGGTTTTAATGCAGAATCCATTGAAATTGGTTGAAAATTCATTTCTAAGTCTAACTACGATATGAAAGAAAGAGCTTTTTGATATTCCTCAAGAACAGAAATTGACATTCTGTTCCATTCATCTTAAGATAGTAGTGTCTGCTTCATGTCAGGTACAAAAATCACAGAATGGCCAAGGTTGGAAGGGACCTCAAGGATCAATAATCTCCAACCCCCCCTGCCACAGGCAAAGCCAGCAACCTCCCCAATTAATACTAGACCAGTTTGCCCAAGGCCCCATCCAACCTGGCCTTGAACACCTCCAGGGATGGGGAAAAAGAAGGAAATGTATCATTTGTCAAAGGAGAGCTGTAACAAAATACAGCACAGCTTTCTGGAGCTGGAGTCTGGCAGCCAAAAAGAATCTTGATGGCACTGTACATTCTTTTACTCTCAACACTGAAGGAAACCGAAACTGCACAAAGGTAGACCTGGGCTGGGAGCAAAGCCCCCCAGCTGGTACCCATGAGCAAAGAGCTTTTCAGATGCGAGTTGGATGTCTGGCTGGCTCCATTCTGTTCTGCATCACCTGCTGCAGGTTACAGACAAGCCAGATGCACCTAGGCCTGGTGTGTCCCTAAGCACAGCATCCTGCATCCTGATAATGATGTGAACGGGCAACCTAGCAAGGACAGATGGTCTTCAGAGAGAGATGAAGCACTCTGGAAGTATGTGGCTAAGGAAAGCATGTACCCCATATGTCTCCAACCTTACAACATGCTTTGAAGTTGCAAGGAGAGTGAATACTTTTCCAGATTCAGTGGCAGATTTCACCTCATAGAGCAGGAGAGTTAATTCTGTTGTAAATAACTGCAGCACAGGGCACTCTGCATGGAGTGCCAGCTTTCACCACATTATCTTTTTAATTATCTAATTAGGTAATATCTTTGAGAATGAGCCTCCTGTGCAGATGCTGGTGCTGGGGTAGGTGCTGCGGGTGGTGCAGCCCCCAACAGAACCTTTGAGAGAAGGGGCAGAGGGGAGGGTCTGAGGCCCAAGCAGAGAAGCTTCAGAAGCTTCAGACAAAACCCTTCAGTTGCTGCTATGTGAATGCAGCTGACCACAAATGAAGGTGTGAGACAGCTGGGAAAAGCCAGGTGTATCTGCATGAAATACTGCAAATTCAGTGCTAAAAAAGGCAGAAATAGGCTGCCCTTTCTCCCTGAGTGTTGCAGCAAGCGTGAGTGTGGAAAGCTCTTGTTACCATCCCTGGTTTTTCAATGTGAACATGGAGCCATACTGATGGCAGGCCTCACAAACATATTTTTCTTTCTATGAGTGTACTATTTGAGAATTTACTCTGCTATAATGGAGGGTGGATGCCATATCAAAGATAATTAATGGAAGTATTATTCAGTCTGTTCCCATGCCAAGCTAAAACATTGGCATACAGCAGGCAGATCCAATCTGCAGACTGTTACAAGCACAGCACGTGGGCTCTTGATCATTGCTGGTGTAAATGCATAGCTAATGGTGGTGACTGTGTTGAAAAAAAACTGTTCTGTAGCTGAGAATTTGCTCTATCAAAGTGTTATTGTGCTCTTTGTATCAGAAAGAAACAGAAGGCACAAGTTTTACAGTGACCTAGAAGAACACAGCCCAGTACAATTCCTCTCCAGTCCATGTGGCCCAGGCAAGCCCAAAGGTTGGAGACCTATGCAGTAGGACACAGAAACACCCAGATTCACCCACCAGTGCATTTTAAGTGTATTTTTATTTACAGAGTAGAGATGCCTAATAAGTTATAAAGTTAGACATCTGATAATTCAACTTTTTTTTTTTTTGTAAAAGTATATAAATATATACATGGAACTCTATCAAGTAAACATTGTTAACTGTGATACTTACAGTAAACAGTCACCACTATCCTTACACTAACAGGCAGCTCTTAAAGCTTAAATACTGATTTAAGATACCCTCTATAAAATAGCTCCAACTGTACTAAAAGGCCAAAACAGTCTGTTGCCATACACAAGCTTTTAAAAGAGACCATTAAAATGGCATGGTAGTAAAGTTTGCCAGGACAAGAATACTGCTTTATCCCACCCCCTAAGAAACAAATACTCCAGAGCAGCTGCAGAGCTGCAGGAGTATTTCAACATTACTTTTTTTCATTTTTTTTCATTAAAATATTTTTATTTGAGTACTTAATCATGTATTAAGGAAGCTGCAAAAAAATGCAGCTTTATTAAATATTATTTACTGTTATACAAATATCTCACAGCTGTGTCCATGGGCTGAAGACAGCAGTGGTATGGTATGAGCTCTCCTTTGTCCGTACACTATGTACCTTATGTGCAGTGACACACAGAGGCAGATAGAGAAAATATTTGACAGCAGCTGAAGAAAAGGACTTTGACAGCATTGGCAGAACAAAGAACAGGTGAGAGCCTTCAGGTCCCTTCAGGCTCCTCACATCTGTATTTTCAAAGCACTTTCCAGTTCAGGATTTCATTTGCCTCTCTTCTTCGTGCTGGAGATGATTCAGGACATACAGGACAACTTGATAGCAGAAGATGTACTGATCCTGCAAGGGGAAGAAGATCACAGTGCATATTACGTTAGCAATGCAGCTTTGGGAGCTAGTGCATGATTTGGGGTGAGAGTTCTTTTCTGTTTGTTTTTGTGAACTGATGGCAGAAGTCCCTCATGTTCAAAAAGTGGTTGCAGATCCAAGGTAGGTTCAATTTCTCCAGATCCAGGTTATTCCCAGAGATTAGGTTTACTTCTGGCTAAACACCTCCCTCCAAAAGGAGGCTTCAGAACGGTTTCAGGGATTCACAGCAGCTACATGAAGCTCTCTCTTTAGCATGTAATACATATATTTATATATATTTTTTGCGAAAAAAATTCTCAACTGATTTCCTCTCTAAGATATGCTTTAGAAGAAGAAAACTCCAATTCCAACCCCTATTTTTAGTCACAAATTGAAAGAGCAGCATGCTTCAAGCTGCATATATTTCTTGAACTATAAAATGCATCCTAATACTCAGCGGCACGCATCCGATTTCATTCTCATAACACAGAGCTTACATTAGAGGGGACAAGGACAGTCACTACAGGAAGCTTCCCGGCACATCAGAGTTCGAATCCCAGTGTCTGGAAAGCTGTACGTGGAGACTCACCTCTGTCTGCACCATCCCGTGCCGCTGCAGACGCATTGTGCGCACCAGGTCCGAGATGTCAAACTGTCAAAATAAACAGCAGCAAGTTAAATGCTGAAAAAAGACATACGTGCATATACGAAATATCCTCAGCACCACACCAAGGAATCCAACCAGGCCCATGACACGTAGTAGTGAAACAACTTACAATTCCGTGTACCCAGCACAAACTTGGTAGGTTACCAGCACGAGCTGCCTCAGGGCAATAAGGATGTGGCTCTCTTACATCACCTTTTCCTTCCTTTGTGCACCTCCACCAGCTCTCTGGATTACTATTACCAAGAGGTGGGTATGCAGAAAATTGAGTCCTTTGGCTCAGTCTAACACAATGCTTTCCATCTCTCCTGTCTATAAAACTTCTGGGCATTTGACGGGTGCTTAAAAATCCTACTGAGCTTAGCATAGCTCAGCATCCCTACAAATTCACGGAAGGATTTGCTGTACTGGCCCAACGGTGGACACCAACATACAGAAGCTAGCCAGCACCTTCCTCATTATCACCCTAGAAAGTATATTCCCAGTGGTGCTGGAAAAATGAATTGACATACTGCTGTCTCAGGTTAAGGTGTTCCTACAGTGTGAGTTTGTGATGGTTTCTTTCATCGTTCATTTTAAATATGGAAGTAATATTCCCACTGTGCAGAGCTGCTGCAAGACAGAAGCACGGTTGAGCCCATTCTCTCAGGTACTCACATCCAGGTCTCTGCTGATAAGCCCCAGAACCACATCGATACAAATCAGGGTCCCTGAGCGGCCAATGCCAGCACTGCAGTGTGTTACGATGGGTCCTGATCTGTGCACGTGCCTCATGTAGGAGATGAACGTCAGCAGGTCGTCCGGCTGAGAAGGGGTGTCATGGTCAGGCCAGGCAGTGAAGTTCAGGTGGGAAATGTGTCGTACCTCACCTGTCTGAGGTTTAACGACAACAGCAGGAACAAAATGTTACACATAGGAAGAAAAAAAAGAAGACAGAGAAGTTCCCAAATTTCAAGTCTTAGAAGAGAGAGATTTGCTCCATGAAATTGGTCTGCAATTCAGTAAAATCAAAGAAATGGTGACTTAAACTGAAAATAAACAGTAGGTGGTTAAATAGTATGGAGTTTTCTGTGCAGACCAATCATGCACAGGAACCAGCCAGACTGAATGAGGAGTGAATGCTGTATCTCTACATATCTTTCTGCTTCTGTGGTCAAAGGCACCTGGGGAGCCACATCTGAAGTCTAATTAGCATCAAAAAATCACCTCCTGGCCTAACTGCCTTCTCCTGTAAAGGTCCCACAGCAGCACAAACTGTAAGGCTGAAGAATTGCTCGGTAACTATGACTGGGCAAAGAGAAGCTCTACATTACCTCTTACCAACAGACACTGTAATTGAAACCAGGCAAGACACTAGTGTGAGGACAGAAATGCCAGCACTCAAAAAGCACGTAAAAATCAGACTCACTTACCTGGATCTCTTCTAGCTCCAGCACTCTGATGATGAAGCCCTTCAGCTGCTGAAACCTTACAAGAGCCAGCCGCAGCCTGTCTGTTATCATGGTGGTTTTATGGAGCACATCTGGCCAGTAGCGTTGGCATTTTATCTTCTCTCCCTCAACTTCCTGAGTCATCATGGCAATCACAGTACAGTTTTGCTCCCAAACCATCTGCCAGAAGTCTGCTACAGTAGTGGGGAGAGGTCCTTGACAAGCGATGTAGACAAACTCCTCATTCCCCACCGGCATGCGAATGAAGCTGGCGTTGATGTATCCACCTTCACTGCCAAGAGGAACTCTGGTGGTATCGTCTGCATTTCCAACACAACGGAAATACTTTAATGTTAGGCATGAATATAATTAAATCTTCACACAGCAGAGATGCTGAGCCTTACACACCCGCATGGTGTTTATCTCCAAAGTACTTCAACATTTTATTGAAAAACAGAAAACATAAAACCAATACAATACTTGCATTGAGATTCAAATCAGTACTTCTATTTGAATAAAGAAAAAGATGGCCAGGGAGAAATCTAACCAACAGATATCATGGTGCCTGACCTCAACTGCAGCACTCCTGATGCTGAGGCTCAATACTTCTCATGCAGAGCTAAGCCTGTGTCACTTGCCTCTGCTCCTCAATGCTTCTCCCAGCTAACAAACAACATTTTGCAGAAGGAAATTTGCTGACAGTAGGATATCTGTCTGTTACTCCAAATTTACACAAGTAAAACTGAAAAAAAAAAGTCCGTCTACATCCATGTATCTCACTTAATAATAAGTGGGATCTATTGAAACACCTGTAAAATCTGTGGGCATTCATTCTTAGCTGTTGCACTAGTTTGTCATTCACCAACCTTATACTACTTTATAAATATTGACTTTAAACATGTAGAAAATGTCAGATGTATTTATCTTTTTCCCTACTCAGCAGCAGATCCAATTAATTCTCCATACAAATTGACACAAAATATCTACACTAAATGTCAGACCGATTAATACTCACAAGGGAGGATGTTTTTGTATCTGTTCTTCCTCCTGTTCTCCTTTGCTTGTCCAATCAAACACTGATCCAATGGTTTTAACTCTTGAAGATTCTGTAGGGAAAGAATCTTTTCTAGGGTCACAAAAATGATACAAGGGATGGAACACCTTTCCTACTGTGACAGGCTGAAAAGAGCTTGGGCTGTTCAGCCTGGAGAAGAGAAGGCTATGAGGTGACACCAGATAGCAGCCTTTCAATATCTAAAGGAGAGCTACAGGAAAGAAGGGGACAGACTTTTTCAGGAGGGTCTGTTGTGATGGAACAAGGGGAAAAGGCTTCAAGCTTAAAAAGGGCAGATTTAGGTTAGATATAAGGAGAAAGTTCTTTACAATGAAGGCGGCGAGGTGCTGGAACAAGTTGCCCAGAGATGCCTCTTCCCTGTAGACTTTCAAGGAGAGGCTGGATTAGGCACTGAGCAATCTGTTCTAACTGTGGTCCCCCGTTCCTTGCAGGGGAGTTGGACTGGATGACCTTTAAAGGTCCTTTCCAACTTTAAGGATTCTATGAATTACCCACGCATTAAAATGCTCTGAACGATACAAGTGCTGAGAGCAGCCTCTAAAATGAAGGAAACCCTAATGGATGTGCAAAATCATTCAGCCAAAGAAAGGAATCTGATTTCATGTAGCTAACAAAATACACCACGTTGAACAAACAAACAACCCATTAAATATCCAGTATGTATCTCAGCTTCTTCTCCCAAGAGAGAGTTCACTGAACAAGACTGACTGTAAGACCTGGAAAAGACTATTTTCACATCCTGCAGTTCAACATTGCAGCATTTCTCTTCCTTGTCTATGCCTGCTAGCATCACATTCACTTGGTAATTTACCCAGAATAAAAAAGACACAAACACATTTTTGAACTGAACTCCCAGCTCAACCCAATCTCATCTCTCAGCAGCTGCTGGGGGAAGGAATTCTTCCCATTCCTTTAAAGAGCTGCAAATTAAAGAACTCTGGTATTTAAGGCGGTGATGAATCAACCATTCAATTTCTGTTTCATCCTGTTAAAAGGCCAAGTTTTAGAAAAAACAAAACTGATGTCACTCACTTCAATCTCCTTGGAAGGAACCCCCTGTTCCAGCAGTCCTCGCAGCACCCTGATGGCCGCCTTCAGCTTGGCTCCGCAGTACTTGCCGCCAGGGAGCACGCTCACAGCACGCAGCGCGGAGATCTCTTCGTTTGTCACCAGAGGGAGATCTGGCAGAAGAGTGAGGCTGATTCGCATGGCTGTGTAAATAGCAAACTAAACTAAACTAAATTAACTAAAGGAAGGAAACACATAAAATGCAGTGCAATGCTGCATGTCCTTGTTACTGCACTAGATGGTTCTCCTGCCATGAAAAGCTGCCTCATATGTATTATCTTATACAAAAAGCCATGACAAATTGAGCATCCTTGAGTGAAGCAGTCCTTCCAACACTCTTTGCTTCCTTTTATCTTCAGAATCCCTCCACACAACCCAGAGAGTGCACAAAGAGCTTCTCAGTTTGAGGGACAAAAACCAATTAACCAACATAACCAGCAAAAAGCAAAACTGACTTTGATCAGTCTGGGAACAGAGGATTCTCCTAAACTCCAAACAAATGAAACAAACCCTGTATGCACTTTAAATGGAAGTTCTTAAAACAAAATCACCATAAAATCCATGAACGTGCACAGGGATGAGTTCAGAACTTTCAGTTAAATCAACATGTAACTGAGTGCCCATTTGTAGCACTTAGAGTAAACAAAATAAGCAATAATAAATAAGTAATAAGTAATAAATAATAAGTAACAAAATAAGTAATAATAAATAATAATAAAAAATCTTACAATTACCACTTGAAAGACATGTTAAACATCTTTATTTTTGTCGAAGCATGCTACCTATCAGGCCTTCGGTACTCCTCAGAAACATGACAAAATTAACAACTTGAGGGCTTTCTGTTAATGCATTTAAGTGTCCTAAATCTACTTGTTCACTCACAAGGCTTACACTGCTCTTTATTTTCTTCTATTAAGGAATACACGCTCTATAGACAGAGGACTTCTGTATAAGGATTTCAGGACTTGACATTTCTAATTCTCAAAAAGTAAAGACTAGTATCTGTCAAATGCATCCAACTCAGCAGTACTCCATCCTGCCAAACTGAGCAACAATGGAAAAATAAGAGTCTATATATACAGGGAAAATAGTGAACAATGTGAGCATTGAGCAGGTAAAATTTCAAGTACACGAGATACTGATTTGATCACAATTAAATCCTGTAAACCATCATATGCTAAAGATTTTGTCAGACAGGTGGAGGAAAGCTGCTTTCAATTCCTCTGCCATCATAGGCCCAACCTCACCAACATGTGCCCCAATGGACTTTCAGACACAGGTCACTTCAAGCTGTAAAGATTCTTTCCTGAATCTTTACAGCTTGAATTCGGCGAGTCACCAAATTTTCCCACTATATCTATCATCAGACTCTCAAGCCATATCCAAGACTTAAAAATTCAAATCTGAACATATTGGCTGCTTAATGTGATCCTCAGTTTTCAATTAATCGTTTGCTGAAGCTCTTGCCTTTATTTACACGCTCCTGGCTGATTGATTCAATTGGCAATTCATCACTTCCCCACGTGATTTCATCTTCATCTGCTTGACTCAGGGGAGGTTGTGGAGGAGATCTAAAGTGAGCCAAGAACAAAAGTAAGAAGCGACATCTAGAGACAACCAATGCATTTGCAACTTCATGAAGCATCGCCAGAAAGTCACTTACAGCTACAAGTACCCATGGACCAAATCCATAGCAATGATCTCAGAAACCCACGTTAAAATATTTAACACAGAAATAATAACATGGGAATTTCCAGGACTCAAGGCAGGTCAAAGCGAAAGTTAATAACGTGGTCAGGCATGCTCTTAGTTTCCCACATACAAACAGTAGGTGTCAAGCACCCAAGTGGATACAGACTCATCAGCAGAACTACACAGGCACTTTGAGATCTGAAGAAATCACAATAAGGAACCTTGTAAAGATTCAAACTGAAGACAAGATTGTTTGAATTTCTTCTTCATTTGAAAGAAACAAACAGTACAGTGCAAATGAAGTTGTTTGGAACCATCTGACAGATGTCCTAGTTACTTGCTATAACCACGTATCAAAAGAATAAAAATGCAGCCAGGGCATGGTAAAGTACATAAAGCTGACCAATATTCAGGTGAATTATAACCTTTTTAAATAACAAGGACAAAGAGCAATTTGGCAAGACACCACTCATATATATATATCTCCATCTATTTATACCAATACACACTCCCAATTGGCATTATAACAAATCTCCACTGATTACTTCAAATCTCATAGGTTTACTTTCAAGAAACACTGGAAAACAATGTTACCTTTCTGGCACAGCTCCTTCCTCACCATGGTCTTCACAACCATTTATGTGCATGGGCTATTGGAAGAGAAATAATGAAACACATCAAGGTCACTGTAATGAAGTTCACCCACTGTAGATTTTAAAGGATGTGAATGGCTACACATAATATTTTTGAAGTAAGTTCAAAACATCACATAATGCAAGACTTGACACTTTTGGACAGCTCATCAACCCAAAACAACAGAGAGCACTTAGAAAAGGCCATAATATTATAAAGCCAAAAGCTATCTTAAAATATTTTCCTGCCTGCAGCAGCAGAAAAATCATCTACACTTTTTCCAGATAGCTTTTTTGTTTGTAATCCTTAAAAACCTTTTATGAGGCAAGTTTCATTGTGAGCACTTCTATTTTCTGCTGAGCCACAACTGTCACAGAACAGGGCTTCACCTCTAAATAACAGGTACTCTGACATAGTTCTTCCTCAAAAGACAATGAAGACTCAGAAGAGAAGAGGATATTTCAGTTCTCCTTTAGAGAAAGAGGAAGTCTCCAAGATGATTTTTTGGCTTATTATGACCCCTGAAAAATCTCTACTGTCACACTCAGAGAATTTTACTTCTGGATCTCCTAGAGAACACTGATAGAGCTGGATGCCTGACTTATTTCTTCACTCACTGGCCAGAAAGCTGCAGGGAAATACTGGATGGACAGAGCTCTTCCAATTTGAAAAACGTTTTGGAAGCTAATGACTGATGTGAAAGAGAACATGTAATAATGCTGGGGATGCAATATACAAAAGTCATTCAAATTAAGGAGAGTATTCTAGTGAAGCGTAAGGGGAAAGAAGTCTCACATTTACATTTTGGAAAGTCTACACAATATTCATCGTTTCTTCTTCCTTTCTCCGTGCAGCAATCAAGGAAATTTTAGATGAAATACCTCAAATAACACTAACAAGCTATTATATTACTACATTTTTAAAATAATTATTATTTAAAATACAAGGGTATTTCTACAAACTCCATACAAATATGGAAGAAAATAAATGGAAAGAGACTGTCTGAGAAAGAAAAATCTGCCAGCTTCATGCCATCTCACCTCTGAAAAATCTTCAGGTAAAGATGAACCATCACAGTCTGTGTCTTCAGACTTATCTTCTGCCAGTTTCCCATTCATCTCCACTGGAGCAGAAAAATCAGAACGCAGAAAAAAAGAGCATAAACACACTGAAAGATGCCCAGAGATCACCATCTCAAACATATGAATCTTGTTATACCAGAATACAGGTATCAGTATAAGCAAGCAACAACTTCTAAGTCCCTCTGTTGAAGTCACTATGTCACTAAGTCACTATGTTGAAGAATCAGATCTGAGGTTTCCTCTTTTTTTAAATGTAACAGCTGCAATTGAAAGTGAGGTTGTTGGCACAGCTAACAGAACTGCTGTGCCACAGTGTAAGAGAGGAACAGGCCAGGGATGTTAAGTGAGCAGACTGACATGTCAGCAGTGCGTTTGCAACTCCATTATATTTAGACCCACAGAAGTTCTAAACCTGGTTCCTGCTCATTCTTTGCAAGTCTAATGAAAACCTTATAGAAAAGCTCTTACCTATCTGGCTGCTACAGCAGTTCTCTGCTGCCCTATCTGACAAGTTCAAGTCTTCATTTGCAAAGACCAAATCCTATCTAAAAGAAATTTGAAGGAGTGGAGCTGATATAACTGCCTGAGGTCCTCATTCCTCCCTGATTTTAATGTAACAACAGATGATAATAACCAAAATGTACTTCAAAAGTAGCAAAAGTGCTGAAATAATTACAATTCTAGAAGGTCTGAATTCTATATATACTGTACAAAACAATTCCATGCTTGCCACTGCTCACTAGGCCCCATATTTGCAAGAGGCCTCTTTTCCAGTGACCTGTTTTTCCAGTGACTCAGTACCTGTCAGATGATCTTCTGATGTGGCCTTCTTGATGTGCAGAAGGCTCTGGGCCTCTGATGTTGCATTGTTTCGATTTAATAGGTTCTGGGCTTCCTCATCTACAACGTCCAACAAATATTGGACTACCTCATTGTGATCATCTTCATCATAATATTCATCATCTGGAATCTCCGTTTCTAAAATGAAATAGTATAAAATTATATTTTTTCCCAAAACAGGGAAGGAGACAGGCAGAGGGGGAGAGGAGCAGACACTGAAGTGCTATTTCTAGTTGTTATCGTGACTTTCTCTCATCATCTCTGGCATAAAATCCAGATTTCATAAATCTACTTCCAACATTAACAAATTCCACTCCACAGGGCTTGAAGATGATCTTCTAAACACGGCTGCCACTCTTTCTTTGACTTATTTCAGTCTGTTCAAACTGTGCTGTTGCCTTGACTCTTTTTCATCCGTGAACCATGTACTGAATTATGCGGTCCCTCATCTCATCTGTTCTTACCTGATTTGTCACTGTGTTTAGAAACATCCAATATCTGAGCAGCAAAGCCAAGCGAAGGGGCATCTCCAGACCCTGTGAGATTTAATTGCCCCTTTGTATGATGGATGTTATTTTCTGTGTTTGCATGAGAAGGTCCTATGATGCTGTTGCCATTGACCTAAGACAAACGAAGAACAATACAACTTAACTCCTAAAGTTTGGCGCTTCTTTTTAAGCAGCAAGCAACCCATGCACACAGCTCCATTAGGAATAAATGGAAAGAAACTAGGCATATCATATCTCATCTGAGCAAACAGGGTGATGGGGTGAGTAGAACTCTACCTGTTCATTCAGTAGCTTTTAATTGTGTTAGAATTTTCAAATGAAATGAGCAAAGAAAAAAAATACAGCAACTAAGAAAAATAAAACACATGGATAACTATTAGAAGAAAACACAAAATAATATCTCACATTATTACATCCTCTATAACACATATGCAGGCTTAATTCCATGGATCCCACAACACACCGCTTCTCAAAAACAACAACAACCCAAACCAACAAGAAAAATCAGAGAGGTAAAAAGGAAGAAACAAGTATAAGCATCTGCAGAAGCTGGAAAGAGACCAGATCACAGCCTTGCATCCTTATGAAATAATTTGTCCTTACATAGAGCAATCTCAAAGATAGAAAAGATTAATGCCAAAAACTTATGCATTTACTATTAAAATTGCTTTTTCACATCCAGTGGCAACAGTGGATTTGCACAGCTTGGTGTAAAGCACTGTTTAATCAATTTATTTATTAAAACAAACCAAAAAACAACTTGTGTAAATTATATCCTTTTTTCTACTTAATGAAAATCCATTGAGGGATATTTACCTTGGGCCCATAGGCATCAGTTGTCTTTTCTGTTTTGTCACAGGGATCACCATGTGAGCAGCCTAAACAAAATGAGGAAAACCAAACAACTTAAGAGCATAATTTTCACTGTAATTATATTAGTTTCCATCAATTATCTTTTTTATAAAAGCAACAAGATGTGTTGTGAAATGAGTAACATTTTCGCCTGTTTGACTAATGGCCATTGACAAAATGATGACTCTAAACTATACTTGATTATGGTTATTTGAACTTTAAGTTCAATGGAATAAGAGAACAGGAACACTTATAGAAATAACCAAATCTAAGCAAAGATAAATGCTGATAAGCAGCCTAACAGTGAGAAGGCAACACTTACACCGCAGGGAAATAGGATGCAATTTCCCTTCCTTTCAACTGTTCAGATTACAACCTTGCACTTATCTATCTTTTTTTTTTTTCTTCAAAAAAACAACAACCAACAACAAAACCAAACCAACACACATCATCTGCCGCCTGGGTTCTTGCTCTAAGGCACCTTCCGCTCCTTGGTAACAAAAAGAGCGACACCATGATTTAAAAGACCCCACCTACCCCAAACATCACATTATTGGTATGATAAATGAGACAGGGTGGAATAAGTAGTTGCTATATACCTGCTTTCTAGCCCAGTTCTGAATTTGCTTGCAAAAGCACGTGTAAGAAATAAAGCATTCAGAAGGAATCACAGAAAGATAAAGGTGTTTAAGGCAGTGTCTTCCAACAGGGCTGGTTCCTAAAGAATATCTTGACCAAGTTTTTGGAAACAATGTTTACCACAGTTGAAAAGTATGTGAGCAACAATGAACTGGAAGAATTAAAATAATGTCACGAGGCAAGATCAATATTCAAAACTAACAATACATTAATGGAGAAGTGTGGAAAACAAGACTGTGATGAATCAAAACAAATGAAAGCAACAAAAGTCAATGGAAAAAGCAAATGTTTCAGCCTCTGCAGATGTAACAGACTGATGTTTTTATCTGCTGTCAGAACAAACAGGACACAAGTAAAAAAAAATAAAATATATATATATATATATGTAATAATAATAATGGATCAGTTAAACTTACAAACTTACTCCTTGAATGACTCAAGCTTGTTATAAGAGAAAATTTCTGAACTGCAAGAGAAACTGAATAAATGCCTGCTGGAGCTACCTCAGCACACAGAGTTGTAGTGCAGCAACTGCATGCTAGAGAGCATGTAAGACCCACATAACTTCCTTCATTTTTACAGATGTGCATTTCACATGCAGTGTGACCATGGAAATCTTACCATTAGCTTTCTTTGACCATGAATCCGAGCTATCTGAGCCCCTGGATTTTGGAAGTACTGGATGACCATCTCTATGAAAAGAAATGTGTACAGAAATTTATATTTAAAAAATAAAAAAATAATAATAAAAAAATCAACCAAACAACCAACAAACAAAAAACCCATGGTTATTGTACATATGTATATCTTAATATCCAACAATCAACAAAACTGCTCATTGCACTTTCCATTTCAACAGTTTTGGAATACTAAGAACATTTAATGACAGAGATGAAGCACTGGTAGTTAGGCTGGTTCCTACTTCAGGAATGAATGAGGACTTTGTACAGTTTCATTCCAGGTTCTGACAGAAAGACTTGACCTTGCTTGCCTTCAAATTAAAGGATAGGAGGGGAAGGAGCAAAGAACATCAGCATGACTAGGAGGTTTCAAAATGGAGGGGAATGTTGCCAGACTTCCCACTCCAAGCAAAACTTAAAACTTAAGAGTAGTCTGACGTCTGTCACACTGCAGTATTTCCATAAAAATAGAACCAAAGATTAGTGAAAATACGGTGGTGTACCAGGATCTGTGCCAGAGGGTTTTGACATTCAGAGCTGTGCCAGAACATCCACACGATGGAGCTATTCAAGCACAGAACAATATTTTCTCTTTCTCTCCCTCTTTTTTTTTTTTTTTTAATATATTTGTAGAATGTGCAGTAATGCTTTTGATTAAAAGAGAAATAAAGAAAAAAAGAAGGAATGAATGCATTAAAACAATCTGTGCCATATTTTGCAAATGTTTTGAACACTTGATAGCTTGACACAGCCTTGTCTTCCCAAGTAACACAAAACACAGCAAGTACTAAATGCCCTTCTATTGCACGGAAGTGCAAATCTAAGAGTACATGTTCCCTTTTTTTGGGACCAGTCCTCAATAATATGCCAGCTGACACTGCTCTGGTGAATAGCTGTTAATCCAGAAACATGTTTTACCTACATATAATCAGTGAGAAAAGCAGCAAGAACAGGGAAACATGCAGTTGTAGAACGGACCTGGTCACTTTGAGCACAACCCAAGGAAGGGATGTTTCCAATGTTCTTTTGGCTTCTTTCAGTGTCATTCCTTGTGTGCTGACCCCATTAATATAATGGATAATATCTAGTGCACGGAGACTCTCCTCTCTGGCAGCAGCTGATCTGGGGAGAATGTCACTGATGTACACAACTTGGTAAATGCTGTCATGACCTCCTGCTAACAACAGACCTGTGCAGGAAGAAGCAAAACAAAACAAAACAAATCAACTTTCTTTGGAACTTAAGAAAAATACTCACATTAGCATGAAAGAGCACTATAATTCTCTATTACCTAGCTCCTCTTTATGGCATGTTAGCGTAATATCAGGCAGCAAGTGAGGCAATACTGGCATCTTGGGTAACTCCAACACACGTCCTAGAACCAATCTGACAGTCTTTGGGGCAGCACGGAGAAAGCTGACTGCATCTGTATGACTCATGTTGGTAACGTCAATGTCGTTAACCTGTGAAGGCAAAAGCAACCAGTATTTCCTAGTAAGGTTCCAAATGAACCTCTTTCACAGCAAATCTCTATGTCTCTTTCCTAACGAGGTAGGAGCCATCGATGTATTTAAACAACCTCTTCTCCATGTATTTGAGTAAGTACCTTATTAAAACAATATTCTCTCTTTAAGTAGGATGCACTGTAACTCCTTTCATCAACCTTCCCAGTGTTCTCCTTCTTGTATTCCCCTTGTCTAACTGCACAAAAACACGCACATTTTTGTTCCTTAAGCTATTCTCATCCTGGTGGATGAGAAGCTGGACATGTGCCAGTAGTGTGCCAACTATATCCTGGGTTGCATTAAAAAAGGGGTGACCAGTAGAGAGAGGGAGGTGATTGCCCCCGTCTACTCAGCTCTTGGGAGACCCCACCTGGAGTACTGTGTCCAGGCCACCAGTACTTATACTGGGACCCCCAGTACAAGAAAGATCTTAGAGTACAAGAAAGAGCTCTTACAATGGGTCCATAGGAGGGCCACTAAGATGGTCAGAGGGATGGAGCACCTCTCTGATGAAGAAAGGTAGAGAGAACTGGGCTTATTTAGCTTGGAGAACAGAAGGCTCTGGGGAGACCTCACTGTGGCCTTCCAGAACTTGAAGGGAGCGTATAAACAGGAGGAAGTATAACTGTTTACATGGGTTGACAGTGACAGGAAAAGGGGAATGGTTTTAAACTAAGACAGGGGAGGTTTAGGTCAGATATTAGCAGGAAATTTTTTCCCCCAGAGGGTGACGACACACTGGAACAGGTTGCCCAGAGAGGTTGCGGATGCCTCATCCCTGGTGGCATTTGAGGCCAGGCTGGATGTGGCTATGGGCAGCCTGGTCTGGTGGTTGGCAACCCTGCCTGTGGCAGGGGGGTTGAAACTAGATAATGTTTGAGATCCTTTTCAGCCCAGGCTGTTCTATGATTCTATGTAATTTCAGCACACAACAGAGCTCACATATTTATTTTGGTTTTGGCTCAAAGTTGTTCTTTTCATGCAGTCCCTTTCTCTGGAAACGGTAATTGTCTTACCTTTATGAGTCGGTCCCCAGGACGCAGCCTCCCATCACTTTTGGCAGGATCCTGAACAATGTCATGAATGTAGCAGCCCACATTATCATTCCCTTTGGTCACTGTAAAGCCCAGGCTGCCTTTTTCAGACTTGGTCATGGTGACCTGGAGTTCTACTTCCTAGGGGAAGAAAGTAGCACTTAACAACACAAAAAAAGAACAGAAGCAGCTTTAGACCATGGGCAATTTTAATTTAATACTAATAGAAATAGATAACTAATGCACCGATTGGTGTAACTGGAACACAAGCCTGGATAGCACTGAAACACCTGCAAGAGCAGGCTCGACTCAGCTGTATCCAGCACTTCTCTCTCATTTGGACACGACACTTTTGCATGAAGCTGACCTTGGACTAAAGGCCTAATGATCTAAACAGAGTTGTGAAGGCTCACATCCAAAGTGGCACGTTGCTTTACTCTGAACCAGCTATCACGAATAAAAAGGCTCTTTGAGTAAGACAGCACAGCAGGAACTAGTCAAGTGAAGTAGGTGAATAGGTTTTCCTACAATGAGATAAAACTGTGTATTTCCTAGGAACTGCACACATGCATATACCTTCTCTACTTTTATTTGCATGAACTGTCAATAGAAAGATGCATATCTGTTTCATTTGCACAGACACTCACACAACACCATGACGGTTTGTGAGCAACTTCTGAAGAAGAGACTAAAAAGGAGACAGTTTGTTAGTTCTCAAAAGGGAGTATGGGCATGAACAGCTGTGTAACCCGGGAGACTTCCACAACTGAAACGTACCAAGGCTCGACTGACACTTTCTTTTTTATTTGTGAATCAATTATATGAGGCTATGGAAGCACAAACTCCTTCTGACACACTGCACAAACGTTTCCAGGGTGGCAAGAAGCTATCTCAGAAGAGTCTCAAAACTATGCTACATTTTGCATTTGATTAAAGCAGCAAAGAACAGGGTTTCCTGAGGCCCCCTCTGGCCTCCGACAATCTCTAAACAACCACACAGCAAGGTAACTGGTATATGAGTCCAGCCTGAGAACTTGTCTAGAGCTAGGGAAATGTTTAACATCAAGCTTCTAGGCCAAAATGATACACAAAATATAGGTATGCAAATCTGCCTATGCAGACAGGGATGCATTCATACTCACAGAAGGAAATGTTATCAATCCCTGAAAACCTCAGAGAGAAAACAACTGCAGACATCTGTACGAGCACGGTTCAGAGCATAAGTGCCATTTATAAGACACCCCCAGTCAGTGCAACCTCTATTCAGTCACTCTCCAAACTATGGCTACAAAAACTTCCAGCTGACACAGCAGAGGTTACACTTAAACTACTGAAAGACAGAAACAGGAAATTACCGGTTCATATTCTTCAGCACTTTTTTCTAGCTGGCTGAGTAGTGAGGCCATTCCTTCCAGGCGTGGAGGTAGCTCAGAAGCAGGAGCAGCATAACAGCTGTTTATTAAAACAGATGTGGTAACTTCAGGAATGGTTCTACACGGTGGGATCGATGTCAAATCCAACAGCAGAGTGCTGGAGACAAACAAGTGCATCAAAGATCAGCTTATACAACATAGCTGTCAACAGTAAATTAATACGTGAACCAGTATTGATTTTACACAGATCTAGCCAGCAAAACAAAAGAAGCATTCCCATGAGTGCACTACAGGAATCATTATGAGCTACTCACCTGTCCTCAAGCTCTGACCTGCTAGGAGTCTCATGTGCAGAGTACAAGATGGTGCGAAGAGCACTGCCCTGAGCACTGCGTGCCTCGTGCTGGCTGTGTGCCTGTGTCACAGCTTCATCTGGAGGCTGGCAGAGGGCAGAATTCCAGCTGTGGCCTGACTGCGCCAGTGAGTCCATCGTCTCCTCATCACCACTCCTGCTGCTGTCACTGTAGCTGTCTCTCCTAGAAGGAGACTTCAGTCTTCTCTTGCTCAGATCAGTAGTTTCATTTTCATCTGAGCTCTCTCCCTGTTCTTCATTTGAAGGACCAGAAACTTCTCTATTGACATCTGGAAATACTTGTAGGGGTGAATTGATGGGGGTCTACAAAAGCAAGGACATTTAAATGGATTAAACTCCAGCTATGCAGTTGCAAAGACCACATAATACTACCAAACGCTGTGACTGAGCAGCCTCTTCTGCCAAGATGAGTGCAACTTTGCCAAGACAAAGTATGCAGAACTTTGAAATATACTATGCTAAAGACCTGCAAAATCATTTAAGGAAAACAGATTTTAAAAGCTTCATATATGCTTTTATGGTCAAATTCTTGCATTCATGAACGTACCAATCTGCAATAGTGTTATGAACAAAAACTGTTGCTTGTTTCTTTATTGCTTCCCCCTCACCTATTCTGATATACACGCTCTCTTATCAAAGACATTTTGTACTTGAAATGAATTACAGGATGAGTTATTTGTATTTTGTTCAATTGTCCATCTTCTCTTCTTACTCTAATTTCAGCTTAACTTTGTACTTTTAAGTTTCTGCCATCAGATTTGAACAGCTTTGCTAATTTGAACACAGAATTAAAATTATTTGCATAGAAGATCTGTTTCTGCTCCTTTTACACTTTCTTCCCTGTATTATGGAAAGCCTGCTTTTCAGGCAAACTCTTCCCTACAGTCTCTTTTGCAGAAAATATTTTAATTTCCACTTTTTCCAAGCATCCTGCAATGTCTTCCTGTTCTCCCAATTTAACTACTAGAACGCTTTGAAAATTGTTTTTGGGCATCTCTGAATTCCAGCAAGTAAATATAACAGTTTCTTTCCTAATTGTACACACACCAGAAACAGACAAATTGCTCTTTCATAGAATATATTTCACACACATTGCAGTTTGTATTCGAGATCAACTTCAAATCTATGTGCTACAAAGCAACACCTGCCTTAGAGAGTAAACCCATTTGAAAATGTAGAAATACAAAATTAAAAAAAACAACAAAGACAAAATCCCTAAACAAAACACGAACAAAAGAGGTCCTCGTTCTTTTCAAGTCTGTGAAATTCTCAGTACACTCCTGAGGAATTTACCACAGGAGCTTCTGTGAGCACAGTTCCCCCATCTCTCCTTCTCTATCTTCCATTTAATTAACTAACCCACCAGACCAAGTAAATGAACCCTCAAATAGTAATTAAAAAAGAAGAATCTTATGCCACAGGCCTTACCAACAAAGCAGGATCGATGTCTGGCAGTATACCAGGCGGTGGCCGACAAAGGAGAAGAGAGACTTCTGGAGATGTTCCCCTCAGAGCAGAGATGACTTCCTACGGCCACATTTGGTTCAGTATTAGGCAGAGCCACCAAGACGTGCAGGACTACCACAGCATGAGTTATGCCACGAAGACAGACAATAAGGATCACTAACCTGCTGGGATAAACCCTTGAGCGATGCCCCATTCACTTTGAGGATGACGTCCCCAATGTCTATCTGCCCACTCTCTGCAGCAGGCTGCCCAGGGAAGAGCTTCTTCACCCTCACAATGGTTGAGCCCAGCTGCTCTGGAGTAGGATTATCCTCACGGCAGAAGCTGAACCCAAGACCTGAGCTGTTCTTCAGCAGCTTTACCTCAAACGTGTTTTCTGTAAGAGAAGCACATTATTTCTTACAGCACACTGGCCATTAAAACAAGTGGTGTGCACTCTGCCTTCAGCTATGATGTTCTCTGGCTGACACAGCTTCTCTTCCTAACACCACACCACACAGCACATGAAGGTGTCCTCAAAGTTCAGTTCTGCAGAAGCCCGTTAAGGAGACTGTCATAGCTGACTGATGTGCCTATTCTGGCCACTGAACAGACACCTGTGAGAGAAGCAACTAGCTCCTGGCAGGCAGGATAAACCCTACCCAAGAAGACTAAAGGGTACCAGCAGGAGTTTCCTCACATGCACAGATTCCCCTCCCTCTGCACACCTCTGTAGCAGGAGGAGCTGAGATATCAGCCTCTGGTCAGGCAGACAACTGGCCCTTCTCCATCCCAACTCTGGAAGTCTGCTCTCATCTAAACTGGAGCAGCAGTTATATGAAACAGCAACTCTCACTTTTATATGAGGATTTAACCCCCACGACATTTGTCTTAGCAGCACCAGAATTAACAGGGCCCTTCTTCCTCAACAATCCTACAGCCCTGGCCTGCTGGCAAAATTGGGAACAAAAAAGGAACACAGAGAGCAAACAGTTCACAGTCACTGAACTGCGTTAACAAGATATGAAAAGAAACCTTCAAAACAAATTGCAGTGGCACAGAAACGCAAAAATTGCATGATGTGCGGGGGCTTAGTGTGGATTCCTAATCAGCTCTGACTCCTGTCTTTCTGTTTCACAGGAGATATAAAACTCAAGGATGCTTTCAGTGTTTTCCTACACGATCAGACCAGACCTGCAGTGACAAAGCTGTAGTCTTTGATGTTTGTAGCTCTTGTTGCTGGTTTCTCCTGAGGCTCACATGGCCCCACCAGATTTGGAGGTGTGCACTGTGGTGTTACTGGAGCATGAGCCTTTGCCACAGAAAGCTGTCCTTTTTCCAACAGCAGATGCACCACCTGAAAAGATGAAACATCCTCTGGTTAACTGGCAGTGGTCATGGAGACAGCATAGTTTAGTTTATCAGGATCTGTAGCCACTGACCTGTCCGGTGTTTCTCAGCATTTCCACAGCTTGTTTATGAGTAGCACCCTCCAAACTCACCCCATTGACAGAAAGCACGCGGTCACCTAGAAATAAGTAATTCATCATATAAGAAAAAATGAAGTACAATGTAAATAAAACACAGAAATCTTAAACTCTCAGCTAACAAAGGCAGTGACTAATCAGAAGGTAGTAAAGAATCAAATAATAGAATCACTGAGGTTGGAAAAGACCATTAAGATTATCTCGTCCAATCTCAATCCATCCCCACCATGCCCACTGACCACAGCTCTCCTATATTACATCTTCATGGTTCTTCAGCGCTCCAAGGATGGTGACTCCACCATCTCCCTGGACAGCCTTGTCCAATGCCTCACCACTCTTTCTGAGAAGAAATGTTTCCTAATATCTAATCTCCTCTCCCTCTTCTGAGCACAGAGGAGAACTTTGCAACTAAACCAACCTGGGATAATCCCATGTCAAAGCCAGCATTAACTACTGGAATGATGACCTGCCACAAAGCTCTTATACCTATATTAAAAACCAATCTCAATCTGTGAGGTCAGTTCTCTCTCTAGTAAGGACTGAAGCCTGGCTCAAAGCAACAAGAAAAGCCACAGCCATTACATTGATTTAGTGTATGAAGTTACCCTGTACACTAAGTGAAAGAGCCACAAATAACACAAAAGCTCTCCCTCCCCAGAGCTGACACAGGGAAGCGTTCTCCATCACCACAGGCTGCATTATGGATAATAATCCTGCAGCAGATTTCGTACTTTCCCCTCCACAATCTCTGCAGTTCTCTTTTGGTTCTACAGCTGCTCTCTACTTTGTCTTAATGTTAACTTCATCTGCACAATTACCTGCCAGAACATTTGAGACAAAATCTTGAATTAAAACCATAAATACGTGACATCAGGAAAGGGTTTCTTCCTCTTGAAGCCTTCTGTGATTGCTCCTTTGTCAAACAGATTTCCCAGCTTCCAAGCCACAGTGTACCCTCAAGCCTACCCTGGACAGTTTTCTGACCATTTCTCACATCTAGAACCCCTGATGGAATGACCCCAAATACCTTTTTCTATTTTGCCATCTTCTTCAGCTGCTCCTTTCGGAATAACTGCTTTCACATAAATACCGCCGTGCTTTATACTTGTGTTTACACCACCCTAAAAGGAGAGTAAAAATGGGATTTGTCAGTCTTTTGACAGCTTAGAACACTTTGTAATTCAACGCAACACACTACAAGGATAGCTGCACTCAAGGAAGCACTTTGACCACTGGCACATAAAAGGAAAGGCCAAATTGTCAAACAAAAACATTTTACAAAGCATGGTTCACAGTCATGCAATTTGAAGACTGTACAAGCACAATGTATCACAATGCAAATGCATTCCAACCAAAGAGGCATCCTGCAGCAAAGCATGTCTGCTGTGCTGGAGTTAACATGCTTGCATGCACACAAAGCTCCAAGAACTGTGTGAGCACATCCAGCAGCAACAGCCAAAGAAATGTATCCCATGCAGTGTCCTACTCCAATTCACCCTCTGATGTAACACAAACTGAAGAGTGCTTCTTTTCTCTCAGGTCATAGAAATTTGAAGGTCTACACTGAGAAAACTGCTCAAACTCAAATGGCACTATTCTCTGTGGGCCTTTGCATTCCAGGCTCTCCAACAGCCAACGCTACACTGTCACAACTGCTCCACAAACTGGAGGGAGGAAGGAGATCAACAAAATGTTAACATTCACTCTGAAAGAGGGTGATGCTACATCTGAAAGATTAAAGCACAGAGTTGGTTGTGTCCCTCTTCTTTTCACCACATGCAGGATGGCTGTACAAGGTTCAGTGTGGAGACTGAAAAAGGAAAGCACAATGAAGGCACTATTTGGTAATCCTCCAAGGGCAATCACTGCATTGCTGGCATTTTGTGATGTTTTCTGCACAGCCTCAGGCTCTGCAGACTTGCTGCTGTTTAGTAACTATGTCCTGCTCACCCTTTGCGACTCCAGTCACTTCACTCTGAAAGCCTGACAGGGCAATGTGACTTCAGTGGTTACAAATTCCAACTCCACCCATATGCATATCCATACTGTCACACTTCGGAAAAGAGTGATTTGGTTTAGATATAAGCAGCCACTAAAACTCAATAGATTTGATCTACAGTTAATAGCTGCTCTCTACTGTTATAATTTATGCTGCTTTTCCATTCTCAAATTATTGCATAGTCTACTGATCCATTAACCAGAGATAATTCTGGAATATTAAAAACTTCAGATGCATTTTGCAACACAAAACAAGAACAGAGCAGTGAAAGATGTGTACATATCACTTATGATTCATTCTCTTCATCTCTGAAGTGCCACCGTGAGGTATGGCAGTCTCTAAGTGTGAATCACCGTCAAAATTTTATAACCTGATGAGAAATTCATCCATTAAAAGTAAATTTTTGTCTCTTAAGGGCAGTCTTGGAGGCAAGACAGGTCTAAATTGCATCTCAGTAGTTTTTTGCTTTCTGCCTTTTAACCAGCAGAGGGAGAACACAGCACAGTACTTGTGCGTGGAGTGCAAATACTCTGAGGTAACACAACCCTTTTTCTTCATATGATGCCCAGCAGGAGATCTCTAATTTCTCCCCCTTGCAAACTTGCCACGTTACTGGGGAGCAAGGGACAAAGCCCATCTTTCTGTCTGTACTTGCAAAGCAGCTGCTGTGATAAGATTGACTTTGGGATTTCACTGTAAAATATCAAATGAAGGTTACCTGAAGGGGAGATGGTGCGAAGGATTTACAATGCTATTTTTCAGCTTTGATAAGATTAATTGTAAGTCAGTAAAACTATACGCTCTGCAGTGACTCCAGAAAATATTTTGCTTCCTTGGAATTTAGTAATTTAACGGGTTATGGGAGTAGAGAAAAAGAGAAAACATCTGAAAACCTTGTCAAACAGTACCGTGACACTTATTCCCAAGCCGTTATCTTTTTTGGCTAGTTCAACCTCAAAGATATCTCCAGGTTTAAGAAGTTCTGCAGAAACCTTTTTAGAATTCATTTTGTCAGCTGCATTTGCTGAGGAAGATTCCTTTATTTAAAACAACAACAACAAAAAAAAAAAAGAAAAAAGAAAAAAGAAAAAAAAAGAGATTTTTGTTAGAACAGAATTGTACAGATAAGATCCTAAGGGATGTGTTTCTGAGTCAGCTGCAGCCAAAAGGTTTCCACATGGGAAAGTACCAGACTGTATGGCTCATGAGACACAGTGCTTTAACTCTTCCACAGCTGCAATCAAACAGCATTAGTGCAGAAACACGTTTGGCCTTCAGCACTTGGGTCTTTAATGTCATGGAACACAGAAAACATAACTAGAATTTCACCATTACATCAGCTTAGGTTCTGTTGCATTAATTTGCAGAAATTAATGCTACACTCTTCATCAGCTGGGAATCAGAGATCATTACAGGTTAGGGATGAATTTGTAGTACTTTCTGCTGTGTACCTTCAGCAAAGAGAAGAATGTCTTTGCTCAGGGCATGGCTCACTTCAGAGCTTCATGAGACAAGAATGAAGTTTCATTAGATAAGAGCATTTTTCCATTGATTAGATCAATGTTAAAAGATACAGGTTCAGTTGCTACTCTAGGCTCTCATTTCAGTTACATCAGTACTACTTTTCTCATCTCTTTAGGACTGTCATCAGACTATGATTACATTAGACAATACTAAATGAATGGATGTTTCTTACAGAATCTAGAAGAGCATCACACGTTCATTCCAAAGCAGAATCTGCTTTGAGTAAGACATGCCCATGACATGACACGGTGACACTGGAAAATGCTTTGAAATTCCAGGAGTGAGTTTCTTCACTCATTTTGAACAAAATCACCAAACTGGTAGAAATAAGCTCTCAGCCTTTGCCATTAGGAGGACAAACTGTAGGTTAGGCTGCCCTTCCCCCATGCCCCTTTCACCTCATTCATACCAACCGACAGATATTTCACTGCCACTATTACACCAATGGGAAATTTTCACATGAAATAAACTGTGCCTTTTGAGCAACCTGCTGCTCCTGACTGCTGGAGTAAGTTGCTTCATCCATGTCAGAATCTCCTCGGTCAGAATACTCCACAGACTCCACAACTCCCGACCTTTTCATTTTGGCTCGAGTACTGTCTGACGACGACCTTCTCTTCTCACTAGTTTTCAAAACCCCAGACTGGGAGTCACTGTATTTCTGCGGATCCTGTTGGGCTCTGCCACTGGCACGTCTGCCAAAGCAGCTGGCTGTCTGGCTCTGGGACAGGCTGGCACTCTCAGTCCTGGAGTCCTGGGAGCTCACACTCCCATCCCGCCTGCCCCCTGACAAGGCAGACACGCTGTCTGCAATGGCCCTCTGGTGAGCACGGGACCTGCTAGGCTCCTCCGAAGAGGACTCTGCCTCATTGTCCTGCACTGATGATGGTCTTCTTACATAGGTCCTGGTTCCATTAGTGAGGTGCGAGGTGCTGCACGATGCTGAAAGCCAGAAGAGAAGACAGTCAGCAGGGACTGGTCACATCCTGTCCTCAATATTACACATATTTGTCAGTTTATGGCCATGTGAGATTTTACCATTCTATACCACGCAGAACGCTTTCTATTTATGGTGCAGCCATTGTGCCCTCACTGAAAACTACCCCAAATGATCCTACTGCAAAGCTTAGCGCTTCCACTGTCAGTCTCTGACACAACTGTCAGCACATATTAACTGGGGTGCACAGAAGTGATGTACATCAAGTCAGCTGCTCAAATCAGTGGTTTAATACTAAGGAATACCTCTCCATACCTTTGGATGGCTTTTCTTTGGGCTGAGAGATAACGAGTGTTACATCCTCAGGAGCATTCTCTATAATTTCTAATGCTGTGTGGTGGCTGACACCCTCCAAACTCGTGCTGTTCACAGATATCAGTCGGTGTCCTGAACAAAAGCGTTTGTTTAGATACAATCCAACACTGACATTTGGTCTTTTCTGTCATGTACACCTTTCCTTTTCCACACCATTCACCTGGTTTCAGAGATCCTTCCACATCAGCTGGCCCTCCAGGAGTAACTGAGTGAATGAAAATTCCCAGATCAAGTTTCCCCGTCTTCTCTCCACCAACTATCTGAAAGCCTATTGAAAAAGGCCCAAAGCATGCATATATGTCAGTGAGCAGAGTCTAACTTAGCTCAGCACAAGCTGATATTTCAAAGCACATAAAAAACTTTGTCATTCTATTAAATGTGAAATTAAAAAAAAAAAATCTATACATCTCGAAGAAGTCTACATGAAAGTAAACAGTAAAACTTTCGGATAAAGCTTCACTGCATTCTTAATTCTAAAAAAGCATTTCAGAATTGGATTTTCTTGTCTTCCTAGAAACCTCCAACAAGGGCAACAGACATGCACGCACTTTCTGATGACACTGTATACATTCCTGCTGGCCAGATGACATGCTTTTCCTGTTACACAGAATTTTAGATGCCTTGTCTAAACGTCTGACCCTGATGTTAAGAGATAGGTTCTTCAAAAACAGTTTCCTATATTAAAAGTGCACCAAACTTGTTTTTTTTTTCCTTTTGAAGCTTCCAATCTATTTCTACCAATTCTTCAAGGTAAACCTGGGAAAGATGTCCATGACCAAGAAATATGAAAATCCAAGATGTCAGGCTTTGTCTGCTCTAACAAAAAGAGCAAAAAGAATAGCAGAAAAGGCAGAAGGGACAGTCCCTATGAATTGCTCTTGTTCTTTGTCAACTTGTTACTATGGTACTAAGTTACCATGCAGTGTCAATACTAAACACGATCTTCAGGACTTTTTCCTTCTTCAAACTTACATTACGGTACTCTGTTACAGAACAGAGATGCTTCAAAGAACTCCTCTAAACTGTATCTGATACAAATTACAGGGGAGAATGATGGGGGCTTATGAAAAACATCAGTACAAAAACAAGGAATGGAATCCAAATATCTCAGATTTTGGGCTCACTAAACCTCCTAATTGAAGTTCAATTCAACTATATAATGAGAATATTTAAAAAGTACACAATTAATTTACAATAGCTTTATAAGCTTCGCTTCTTGAAAACCTCTAAGTCATCACAACTGTGAGGTGTCCACATGACACAATCCTTTTATTTGAGCACAAAGACAAACCTTCAATGCCATTTTTGTATGATTATTTCACAGTAATCAGAAAAGTGAGCCCACACGTAATACAGAGAAACCAAGAAACAGATTTGGCCAACACCAATCAAGTAGCAGCAAGCGTTAGCAAGAAAGTCTAGGCTTCTGCATCTTAAATGCCTTTAAAATACAGCTCATAACTATCTTCCTCAGTCCTACAATACTTAAATACAAAACACAAAATCTTTACATTATTTTCAGCTTCCATAAACATCCAAAACAATTCAACCATGTAAAAGCCACATACCCAAGCCCATTTTTTCATCCTTTTTCAGGTTCACCAAAGTGATCTCTCTTTCTGGTGAGGAAACTCTGCTCTCTGTTGTTTGCAGAGAGTCACCTGAAAAGCCAACATTTCTTAATCAGACACCAGAATACGTGCATGCTGACATCCTTTCAAGTTTGCCTTTATGTTCTATTCCATAGAAGAGATCCTTTCTAAAATAGTGGGTCCAGCTGGAAAGAGAAGGTTGCCCACAGAAGCTGTGGATACCTCTTCCCTGGAGGTACTCAGGACCAGGCTGCATGGGGACCTTGGCAGTGTGATTATCCCTTCCAACCTAAGTCATTCTATGGTTCTAAGTTACTAAAAGATTACTGAATGAATTCTCTTAACAACAATCTTTAACTGAAACAATCAACATTAGAAATATCTACTAAACCTATCCTGTTTAAATTGCCAGCATACTGTCAGTCTGAACTCATGAATTAACTACCTGGAGAAGTTGGAATAGCTTGGACTGGAGTGCCTGGCCCAGTTTTGCTGTAAGCGGTACAGGCACTTCCACAACAACATGAAGATACTGAACTCTACACACCAGGCAAAAAAAAAAATAAATTGGTGCAAGAGAACACAGCAGACAGCCCCAATCAGAAAAAGGTTTCTATCCCCACCCACTCCAAAAGTCAGCACATGGTCATTTGGGGCACTGCAGAACCATCAGCCACACAAGCATGGGAAAGGAGCTTCGAAGAGCAGTTTATTGTAGTTAACAGTACCTTTAAGAAGTCAAACTAAACACTTTCCGCAGCTGAAAAGCATTACACATGTAAAAATCTCTCTCCAGAAAAAAACCCCAAACCAGTATTTGAGATAGATTTTGACAAAGGTTCCACTCAGCTGATTGGCAGAGGTGTCTGATGTAAGCATAGTCAAAGAACAGAACAACATCTGGCTCTGTTGAGAGCCAGTGAAGCTCTCAACAAGTACAAATTAAAAGATACTGACTTAACCAGTGGAATGGATGTATTATTATTGATCAACTTACTGCTCTCTTTTAATGGTGTTGATGATGGAAGATTTCCAGAGTTACTCATGCTAACACCTGCAACATGAATGCAAGTATTAGACATTAATAGTCTTTTTTTCCCCCAAGAGAGCTATGAAGACACATTAGACTTTACAAAGAATATGTGTGAGCCCATCACAACAGCAAGTACCTATTTTTAAAATGAGCAAACGCCAACACAGCTACGGTTGAGCAAATTCCAACCATTAATGTGCTTTGGTCGCAATTCATAGTTCAGACAGGTGGAAGCTCATACAAAGTCAAAGAATTAAAGAAAGGACAGTGCTATGGCCTTCTCAGCCTCTCTGAACTTCAGAAGAAATCGGTGAGGCTTTAAGAAAAAGCCTAAGACAAAGACTAAATTTCATAGTACAGTTTGATGGATATGCCTAACTTTGTAAAGCATCAGAACAGCAGCCTTGCAAGTTTTTATACAATAACAAGCAATTTAGGGCAGTAAAAAGCATTTCTACATATTTATATTTAAATTGTTTTGCACACAGGGTCATATTTTCTTTGGAAAATGCCAAGTAAACATTACATTTAAACATTTTAAAGGGGATAAAAAACATACTAAGTTATAGAAATAAAGGAGGAAAGATAATTCAAGCTTCTTAGTTAAGCAAAGTCCAGGCTTTCTCAACAATCTGAACCCTGAAGTTTCAGCCATGTTCTCCACCATGAGCAATGGAATTCAGCAAGACTACCAACTATGTATCTAAGACCTCAGAATTGTTGCTCCAGAGATCATAGGTAAAGCTAAAAGCATGGGACAAATGGCTTCAGTCACTACAGAAACTACATGCCTTATGTCTCTCTTCAGTAGCCTCTGCTCATAATGCAGAAAAACCACAGTTCCCCATACAGTCTTGATTTCAGTGCAGTATAGGAAGTTGCAGTGTTTGTACGTTAGTCTGAGTGCTTACCCATCTCCCACTTGTTGTAAAGCCACATATATAATCAATGTTATGATATTAAACACAAAAGGCGAGCTAATGTTGCAAATACTTCAGTCATCCTAGTTTCCATTATTCTAACAGGGAATCTCCTGCAACTAAAAACTGATGACAGAGATATTAAAAATTAACATACCATAACTCAGAGTGAGAAATAAGTGTATTCAGCTGCACTGCAGCACTGTTGTCTTCTGCTCTAATGTAGTGGTGATTTTTTTTTTTTTTTTTGGTAAACACATTTTTTTACTGCTACCAGGACTTACTTACTTGTGTGCAGTACTTCGGACACCTGTGGTATCAGAACAGTTGGTTACTTTGTCCATAGGAGTATTTTCTTTTCTTTGCTACATCTGATCTGGAATCATGGGCAGTTTGCCTGCATTAACTTTGCCCTCATCCCTTTTTCAAGTCAAAAAGTTACCATCAGTTAATATGAACATCAAAGCACTACATCTGAAGCAACTGTAGAGTTTGTTAGTAAATACAGTAACAGTATTTTATGTGCTGACCTACAACATAGGCTTGCCCGGTATCTTCCATGGACGATGAGTCCGATTCATTTTTCTTTCTTTCAGGACTTCTACTTAAACCTGCATGAGATTTTGAACTTAAAGGGGAGAAGGAGAGAAGGGAAATCAGACAGAGGGAAAAGGAAATTGGGAGAGGGAAGGGAAGGATCAATGTAATAAAATAATAGTATGAATAATAAATTAAAACTGATGCAAAATGTACATCAAATGTACATAAAGGAATTTCAGGGTGCTCATACAGACTCTTACTTGTTCAGTTTTAATGCTCCCGCTGCTGATCCAGTATCAAATTTTGGCATTCGCTGAAAGACTCTTCCCATTAAGTCCTCTATTTTCTGGGAGGAAGAGTCCAAAGCTGTGATAATATTCTTCCTCGGAGGGTAAACCGAGATATGGCTCTGGCTCAGATCATGGAACGATTTGCTCATAACCCTGGGTCTTTCCTCCCACGAAGTCTTCTCATTCTTGTCCTTTGAAGAGCCTGGGGGTGGCTGGAAGAGCGAGAGCTCGGAGCAGGACAGCCGCTTCAGGATCTCTGCCTGCACGGATAGAGGGCGCACTGCAAGGCGGTTCAAGGTGCTGCTGGCCAGGCTGCCCGTGCTGATGGCCCGCCCCATGCCAAAGCCTTTCACTGACTCCGCATGGATGTTCAGGCTCCTAAAGGAAGCTCGCTCTGTGAGATTTTTAAAACAAGAAACAATTCCAAGTTATACAGCAGAGCCAGCGTGACCTCCTTGTATAAGGCACGCAGTTTAAAAAAGCAGCAAGGTTGTTGTTTTCCCTTTAGCCATAATGCTCACAAGTACACACCATCATCAGGTCCATTTAGTTTGCTAAGGATGCAAAATTTGGGTAGTATGCTGCCTTATTCATATGCTATGCTTAAGTGCAACAACACTAAATAGGAAAATGTTTATCCCCTTTATTAGTATGAAGATTCACACTATCTGTTAAACTGCATGGCCTTAGGAAGAGGCATGTCACTTTTACTGCAAAGAACAGAAAGCAAAGTGCTGAGCAGGGCTTGACAGAATTTTGACTCCCTGTCTCCTGACTGATCCATATTCGATCCATACTAAGCACACAGATGGAGAAGATGTAGTGGTGGAAGACATTTTTTGTCATCTTAAAATTAGAGAATTAGTGCACAACTGCCACTTCCATATCCACATCAAAGAGCTGCCCCAGTCATGACCATAGACAGACTGGTGAGCTATGTAAGAACGGTTTTGCTGGAGCAGACATCACAAATCTCAATTTTCTGCCTATGGCTGTGTTCACATCCTGTGGAAAAGTACTTTAATGAAATATTTTAAGGGCTCTTTTCTTGACATTGCATGTAATCCCTGCCAACAAAGCCACAATTTTCCTATGGATTTCAGGTGAATACTTTCTGCCAACCCCCAGCTGAGAATTCTCATGTGCTCAGAAGACTTCCTTAATAAAACCTACTTAAGTCTCAGTGCTCTGTGGTTTTCTAAATGCCCTTTCAGGTATCCAAAATTCATTCCCAAAACTCAGCGTCTGGTTTTGGTCACTGTGTTGACATAGAAGTAAATAAAAGAAATTACTATCCCTCAAGTTACAGCAAATGCCCTTTCTTGTGTACCACGAAATCATTACTTCTACTTTTCCTGAGCTCTGTGCCTCTTCTCTTTTTATTTATGCAGAAGGAATGTTATTCAAATGGCATTTTCCTTTTATTCTCCCAGTCTAACACTTTTCATTAGATTTACATGTGTTAAAATGTTGGGTTTTTTTTTCCAGATCACTGAAAACACTGTGCAGCAACGGGACTATTAAGTGCTCTTTCCCACATCTCCATCCTCTGTTGTTACGTTACATGGTAAGTCACTCCCTGTCATGGTGCATGCTGGGTCTTCTTCCTTTTCTCAGAATAATTTCTCTAGTCATTAGCTGAAACCACAGTGATTCAGCTACACAATGTAACACCGTATTTGTAAAGACTCTCCTGAAGCATTTGAATCTTCCTTGGTCTGTTATCCAGCCATTAACAGCTCTTAACCCAAAGCTGGTCCTTGAGAAGCCTCCAACCCTGAGAAACACCCTTCTCATAGTGAGCAGCCGATCATTAATAATGTCAACTGTCCTTTTCTTTGTATTTTTGCAGAGTTCTTTCAACCACTATTTTTTTTTTCTTTTTTTTTTTAACAACTTTTTACCAGCTCTGGGGAAAAAAACAACAACAACAAAAAATACACAAAAATTGATGCATCAGCAGGCCAAGAATGAAGCTTCCCAAATATTGCTTGAAATTCATTTCTCTAGCAGAAAGAAGGCAGTACTGGCACTCAATATGCTACTCAGAACAGAAAGAGCAGCATGGCTGCAATGTGATTTTTTTTGTTTTTTGTTTTAATTAGAGATCACAGTCTCCACTGCTTTGGGATCAGACTCCATTCCAGCTATGCTAGCAGAAATCTGGATTAACAGCAGCTGGAATGCAGACAGATACAAACATGGAACAAAGAGAGCATGAGAAGGCAGACTAACCGGAAGAGCACTTCCAGGTCTACAGTGAAGGCCAGCCAGCCACCAGCCAAGCGAACTCTGCTCCAAGCAGGACAGAAATTAATTAGTATGGAGTCTGTTGAATTGTTAATTTTTTTGTTTGCTTTTAAATGATTCTATTCTGCACGTTTTTGTTTTTCTAAAAGAACAGCACTTTATTTTCATATACACAAATCAGGTGGCAATTCCTATCTGAAAAAAATGGGCAGAGAAATCACTAGTGTTGCTCCTTTATAGGTCCACCAAGAAGGAAGTAGCATAAAGACAGCCATACTCACTGCTTACAGTCACAGTATCATTACATTGCTTCCTGTTTTATTTGCTCTACTGTGTTTACATTATTTCATCTGTAATCTCACGTAATCAAATCAACACATTTCACACTGAGCAAACTCTTAAGATTATATTAAGGAATTACCTCCAATTATTTTTTCTTAAATATACCAAAAGCCATTAATCAAATGAGAAGGGAATATTAATGAACTGTTTTTAGATTTCTTTTTCTTAAAAGGAGCTCCTGGCTGCTAGCTGTGCAATTGCCAACTCTTCCTCTTGTTCTCAAACTAAAAGCTTTGGGAGCATAACCCCTGCAAAAGCAGAGCTATCTGTGTAGCATGCAGTGGAATTACCAAAGCTGAAATCCAGGTTTTCTTCTTATAAAAGCACATGAAGATTGTTATTAAAAACCAATGTGGCATCCTTACCAATGTCCTGAGTGTCCTGGTTGCTCTGCCTGGTTCTCATCTGCAGCTGGAACTTATGCTGGGAAGAGCAGAGATGCAAAAGGTACTGACAGGTTTTACTGTTGTCAGTCTGAAAGGAATGCTTGATACCATCCGATGTGTTCTGCAATGTTATTTTCTTCTTCTACATGATGGGAAAAAAAAGTTTCAGATGGTGATTTCTTCTACCCTAAGAATAATTTTTTATTTACTAGTGTACAATTGCATTCAAATTTTCCTGAAGAAAACGCACTGACTGGAGAAATGCATAGGGAGTGAAAGTAATTTGAGCTTTACAGAGAAGCATTTTAAAGCTACTGAGATGGCACCTTATTATTATTTAATCAGTCTGCTACTGAAAACCTTAATACAGAAGAAATGGGCATAGCTTCCAATAAGTTATGGGAGCCAGAAGTACTGTTTTCATGGCTCAGCCACACAAGACAGTCACAGATTATGCTGTAGAACTGCAGCGTAATTTGCAGAAATAATGAACACAAAGAAACGGGATTTGGAGATACAAACAGAAAGGGACACACAGAGGTACTGGGTAAGAGATTGACTTACACTGAAGGAAATTTTTTTTGTCTCTCTCCATGGGAAGCGCAGCACAGGAGTGCGGGCACCATTGTGAACCTCAAAGATAACGACTCCTCTGGAGCACACTCCCAGCAGGATGCCTGTCTGGGATCTCTTCTCGGGTAACACGTGATGAAGGTGAACGCCATACTCCGTGAGCCTCTGACACAGCTGTATGGATCAATGCAATAACAATTCTAAGGGTCTGAAGTGAAGGATATTGCAAGTATGATTTATATAGGCGAATTTTGGAGAAAAGCTTCCTCTGAGATTGACTGTATGTACACAGTGCGCAGATGTTACAAAAGCAAAGACACAGAATACAAGCTGTTCTGGATGGTTTTATGTGCCCAATGCCACAGCACATGAATCAAGGATTCATCTAAAATCTCACAACTGAAGTACGAATAAAAATTTCTGGGTAAATTGAACTTTCCACAAACTGATTTCTAGAAGTGAATTGTAACCAGTCAGATGCATTTGGTGTGTGAATACATTTCTTAAATGCAGAATCAGATCTCATTTTGTGATGTCAGCAAAGACCGCCGAAAAAAGTAATTCTGCTCACTTTGCTCTCATTCATTCTAGCTGTCTCTTCAGTCATTGCTGAAGGGACTGTTGTAATGTATCAGCCAAGGAAATCCTACTGCTCTCTCTACCCCAACACTGGTCAGTCTAGATTCAACTAGGATCAAGTTTCCAGCTCCTGCTCAGCATAATTTCTAGTAATTACAGGAACATTTCTGCCAAACGAGCAACAGTTGAGATTACCTCTGCCACTGTGGTCTCAAAGTGACAGTGAAAATGCAGATGTCATTGTTATCCAGTGGCTTAATTGCAAACTCTCACCTGCTAAATTCATTTTCAGGCATTGAGTCAAGGCAGCATCTGATCTCTATCTCATGAGCAACAGCAGCAAAATCCTTAATTACATTTCTCAATTGGCTCTTTTAGAATAAACCAAGTATTCTGTGATTATATGAAGTCTTCCTATCCTATGTCTTCCTAAGTCTTCCTTCCTATTCCTATGAAGTCTTTCTACAGGCTGTCTGCACAAGGAAGTCTGCTCAGTAATGCTTCTGGCTTGCTTCAAACTAAGTATCTCAAGCAGCACAAAAGATATGAGCTGTAACAAAACTTTTCCTTATTTAAATTCGTTCCCCCCATCCTCCACACAAGATGAAAAAAAAAAACAAAATATGAAAGAAATGCAGGATGTGCTGCATTATAATCAGAGCTTCCTTTGGAATAAACATGAGGATCAGTAGTTGCTTTTAACTACTGCATTTAAGCTAAAGCACCAAGAATACTGACAGTGGAAAAAAACAGTGAAAGGATTTCTCTCCCATCAATCATGCTTTCTTTTCACTTGTAACAATCAATCTCTTGAGAAGATGTTTTCAGCTTCCTTCCTCTCCAGCTGTTTTCCTCTATTTCACTTGAAGTCCACGCACTCATCTTCTCAAAAGGAATTTTAAAGTCTGATGAAGGAAACAAAGCACTATCACTTACCTTCAAGAATTCTAATTCTATCTCTTTCTCAGAAGCACCCACGTAAGTGCTATGCAACTTTGGCAACTCTTCCTTGATGTAGGATGTATCCAGTTTCTCCATCACTCTAGCTGGGACATAGTGTTCTAGTCTGAAATATGACATGCCGTGCACCTACAACACAAAGCATTTTTGTGACAGTGTCTCTATATGCTATGGACTATATGGATGTGACTGAAACATAAAGACTGATTTTAAACAGAATTACAGATCTGTAAACTTAGACTGAGTAAGAGGAGGGATTCCGCATCCCAGTGCTGACCAAGAGCTTAATTTCCCTTACACTTTGAAGGTCTATTCAAGCGTGAATCCATCTCCACCAAATAGGGAGGGTTCAAAACTTGGATCTTGAACTAGGTTCCACAACAGTCCCACATCTATTCTCCACTAGATTATATGAAAACTACAATTGCCAACAACACATTGGCTGACTTTCCTGTCCAGAGCGGAACTGCAAAGCACGTACGGTAGCTCACAGTTCACTCTTTTATTAAGCAGCAAAAGCATCGTTTCTCAGAGATGAAACTGATGGTGTACCTCTGCCTGGTAATCTCCATACTCAGCTTGAAGAGCTAGGGATGCCAACAATAAGGCTGTCTCATCATCACAGTGCATCCTGTCTTCCAGGATGTCCTTCCGCAGCTGCAGGTAATACTGGTGACAAGTGAGAGTATGCCTAGAAGGAAAAAAAAAAGAAGAAAACACACAAAAACCCACAATCTTTGCTACTCTTATTTTTAGGGAATTTGGAGTGCTTGATAAATATTCAATTTATGTCTATAAGCTTAGAGCTTAAGAGGTTAAAAGGATGTTCATACACTCACTGTATAAGACTGACATCATCCACAAAAAACTTGATGCGAAAAAACAGAGTGAAGTTGACAGGGGGCTTGTTCTTTTTCTTTGACTCTTCTTTCCATCCTTCTGGGGCTACTTTACTCAGCTTTATGTCAGGATCAACGAAGAAAAACTCATTGTCTGCCATGAACATTAAAGAAAAGGAGACGGGTAAAAACAGAACAAAGACATTTTTCCAGTTGGAGGATCAGGACTAGATTTCCAATTCTGGAATTCAGTTCAGCCATCAGAAAACCTTACTGCCCTGACAATGGCTTGCAAGCACAATGGCTATTGAAGGGAACACTGAGGAACAGCCGTAGTTAACAAAAGAACATGAGAGCAGAAAAAGAAAAAAACATCTTTCATGACAGCTATGAATCAGGCACCATGGTGTCCTTCAAATTTCTTAACCCAAAGGAATTCTTAATCTGTCACTCCCTCCCTCCCTTACTATTTATGTCCAATTTACACTTCTGCAAAATGTTTTCATGGCTGAATTGCCAAAGACACTGGGAGCCAAGTAGAGATGAAGAAGGCTCTCAGGCTGCTCAGGTTTTCTGACTCATGCCAGAACTCTGAGTGCTACAGTTCTGCGATATCCTGCTAGACACAAAAACAGGAAACGTGGGTCTCGATACATTAGTGCTGCCAAAGTGATCTTCTCCCCTTTGGGGAAAGTGAAGTCCAACATCTGGTCTGTTCTAACAGTAGAAAATGAACAGTTCAGAAACAAATTCATTCAGTCTGAAGGCAATTTACTCTGTACAAGAGGCCCTACCCTTTGCCCCAGCATGCCTGTGGACTGCCTCCCAAAGGCTGTGAGAACATACCAAGAAAACCCAGCTTACATCTTCAGTAGGGCACTAGACAGCAACACACATGAAGGCAACAAACAGTATCAAAGAACACTCAGCAACCGAGAAGAACCAGCTGAGATGCTGTTACTCAGACAAATGCAGGCTTTTACTGAATAAACATTTTCTTTCCTGAGGAATGTATTTTGCCTCATACAAGAGTGTGTAACTCAAAGTGGCGTCTCTGTACATGCCAGGCAGCCTCCAATTATTTCCAACATCCTGTAGTTAGCTCTCATTGTTCTGTACCTATCTGCTCCAGAAAATTTTTATTCTTACCTTTTAAAGTAGCCAGTCCAAATAAGTGATGCTCCACTAAGCCAATATGGGCAACAACCATATCAAAGACATCTTTACATATTGTTTTAGTGTCACAGGTCAGCTCCAGCTTCTGTCCACTTAAAAGCATCACATTTACTTTCCTCCTTGTATCATCATTCTTCCCTTTCTTTGTCTGCATTTGGTGAAACAAAATATCCCAATGTTCACGCTCATGGTTAAGGTGCATTTGTTGGTTAAATGTATTTTCCCTGTCACCACCTGCTCAGCAGCCCCTCTCTTACCAAGATAGACTTTGGCAGATCCAAGGAGATGAATGGTTCAATCGTCATTTTCACAAACTCAGGGCCAAAAAAATTCTGCAAAGCACGAGAGTATGAATGAATACTGCATTACTGGAGCAAGAGACAGAGGCACAGTAAACTGGGCAGCCTGGTCTAGTACTAAATGGGGAAGTTGGCAGCCCTGCATGTGGCAGGGGGGTTGGGGATTCATGATCCTTGAGGTCCCTTCCAACTCTGGCCATTCTGTGATTCTGTAAACTCCCGTCCTTCTGCTTACGCACTAAATAGGAACTGACAGCTGAAATGGGAAAACTGCAAGGAATTCCTGCCAATAGCTGGTTGGTTTGAACAATCTCATTTTGCCCACATGCATGCCAGATACACTGGCAAGCCATGCTGTTGACGACATTACCACTACAAATGTTTTCCTTCCTTTTGTGGGCAAAAAGCTAGGATTTCAATATTATTTTGTCTTCCTTGAAAACACAAGGCGCACGTTGCATATCAGGATCATTTGGGTTTCTTTCAATCATCAGTTGCTTGACATTTGAGAAGGTCTACTGTGCTGATGGCAACTCTGCCTCAGCAAACTTCTGCCTGCAACACCCACCTCCCCTTTCCTAAAGGCTAAAATGGTTCAGTCTAATTCTGCCTGCTAGATTCATGCAGAGATTCTGGTCAGTATCTGCCTACCCGTAAGAAAACAAGTATTTTGTTGGTTATTCCTGGGAATTATAAGAGAGCTTAATCTGTCCACACACTTAAAAGAAAACATCTGCACAATACTGATTTCAATACTGATAGCACCCTGAGGAACAGGCCAAGTTTCATCCAAATAATTGTTGCTAAGGGCCTAGGTGAACAAACTAGCCAGAGTGCTGGGACTGGAGACAAATGAGCATCAGGAGACAAGCTCTGCATTAGGGAACAGCAAATTTATGTGTAAGTCCCGAGTCACATTTTCCCAATCCAAACCAGAAGAATCCAGTGAACTGAAAGCAGCACCAGGGGGCATCAAATTGCCATCTATTCCAACAATCAGTGCTCCATCTGCCTGTATCTCTGTCTCCCTCTTCCTCTTTCATCTCATACTTCATCCACTTTTCCTTTTCCCAGCAAAAGCTAGGAAAGGAAAGGGGAGCTTGCACGATGCTTCAGGATGAATCCAAGAGTAAACATATCCTCTTGGTGTGTCTTTACCTCCCCAGTTTGTTAATTTCACAATCTCTGAAGGTGGTGGAACACATCCACGTTCTGCTAAGGGAAACCAATACAAACAGAACTGGTTAAAAACACCACAGGATACAGGAGAAAAATGCACCTTGCTCTTGTTGGGGTACTGTAGTATTCAACACATGTTAAATTGTGTCTTACTGTTTGTTTCATTATCTTTTGATGCTGAGTTTGCCTACCAGCCTGCTAATACTACAAGATCTCCCAAGTCTCTCCTACAAAGCAGCACCAAACTACTGATGACTGCTTATTACAGGATCTGATTTATGAATCCCACATACTTCAGTTTCAGCTGAGACATTGCTCTGTTTCAAAGAATACAGGAGTCCACCTGAGATCAAGGCATTACCCTCAGTTTCCTTTGAGTCATGGCTGTTTCCAGGGCTATTTCTCTAAGCGGATCTCTGGTGATGTCCAGCATGGAGGACCTGATTGCATCTCCAGGGTAGAGGTTGGGCCGGGACTGCCTGAGAGCCATACGAGCCTGCAACTGCAGCATTTCTTCTTCCTGGCGCTTTAGCATCGCTTCTTGACTGACGAGATTGCCTTCAAATGGTGCTTCATGCTGCCTGCTATACAGTCCGAGGGGATAAAAGTCATTACCAGTACGAATCAGACATTCTTCTCCATTAAGCACTTCCCAAAGTGAAAAACCAGAAACATCAACAGGCCACTAACAAATACTGCATTAAACTCAACATTTATTCAGCAGCCAGGAGATAAACATAGCACATCCAGACTGAAACAGCAAACAACCAGTATGGAAAATGAGTAGAACATGCCAACAGTTTGCAGAAACTGCACCTGCAAACTGTCATTTATTTGTATAAAAATAAATGCTCAAATGCAGTCTGAAAACTACGTGACACTGTATACATATCAGCATTCTAAGTTATTCTAAATAGAATAATTAAATGTTTTCATCATCTTTTTCTAACAGAAAAAAAAATGTTTCTTTTAAAATGCTAGAAATGGCTTCACTGACACACAAACATGGTAATAAAAAAAGAGGCTAAATGAAGCAGCTGAAAAAAAAAAAAGCAAGCGAGCGAAATCAAAAATCCCACTATTTCTGAGAAAACAGAAAATTAGCTTTCAGTTCTCGTATCAGCAAATGTCCTGACAACTTCATCTATTTTCATTTGGAAAGAAAGTCATATCCCATTTTGGGTGGATGGACGCTGTGTTTTATTTGAAAATCAGGATGTTTGGAAATGCAAAAAAAAAAAAAAAAAAAAGAGAAAAAAAAAATAAATTCACTCCTCTTCTTGTCTCCCATACACAAGGAAAAACATTCCTAAACCCAAAACTCAACACAAATGTATCCAGGCTTCTTTAGAAATCCTAACCCAAGAAAAAATAATGTTTTCCTGTATAGAGAATTAGACAGAGACAATTTTTAAACAGAAGTAGGTAGGGGACCCTAACAGAACTTTCATCCACCAAAAAGCACATTTAACAAAGGCACCTGGCACAACAGCAAGCTGAGTTCACTTTGCTAACAACCCATCATTAGTTGTGTTAATAATTCTAATTCTAAGCTAAGCCAGATTTGCTGGCACTCTAAAGGAAAAACATGGAAAGTCTTCTGAATCCTTTATATCTCTGCACTGAAGTTCAAGAATACGGATAAATGTAAAATCAAGTCCTGCACTGACACCAATGTAGAGCTCTTGGTAGTAAGAAGGCCATTTACAGAGGTTACAGAGACTTTTTAGGACACAACAATTTATACAGCTGCTGCTTATCAGAATCCAAGTGTGTTTGATGAACAAATCAATTAAAAAGTAAAAGAAAATGTCTCTTTGCAGACAGCACCACTCTCTGTGATAATTTGTGGGCGTGACATCAAATTGCCTTCCACCATCACACAGCACAGTTTGTAAAGAATGCCAGAAGTGAAAACAACACAGAACATCCTCTGAAATGTCCTGAGATTGAAGTTTCATTGGCTGATAAACACACAAGACAAAAGCAGTCTTAAAATACAATTTATGTTACAGCGGAAAAGTCCGAACAATGAAATGGCAAAGATGTGTCAAGAACAAAGCAAAACAACACTGAATCCTCAAATGGAATCTCGGGGAAGTTCTTGAGGAATAATGAAGAATCGTGTTCATGTTAACCCATTATCCTCCCCACTATTCTGGGCCTTCAAAAGAGCGCTCCCCTTTTCCCTCCTCTGCTCCTCACTGCAACAGACTTAATCATGTGTGCCCAAAAGGACACAGCAACGTGGAAAGGCCCCAGACCTGCAGGGACTTGAGCGCAATCTCAGCTTTTTGCAGAAAGGAGGTTTATTGAGATCAACGTACGTGGGAATATTCACAATGAAGTTACTTAAATATGCCCATGAGCGTTCTCCAGATCAAGGTTTAAGGATGGGCTCCAAAATGAAAAAAAAAAAAAACAAAACACAACACAAAACCAAACCAAACCACCTTCTGAACACAAGTATCTATGAATTATCAAAGATGATATGAAAAAGTGAGACATGTTGCAACTGGCTTTATCTGAAAGCACTTTCACATGAGTGAAAATGCCAACTGCTGAAAAAAGTGCCTTTCCAGTAGCACGCAGACATATGCAACAGCAAACAGAAGTTACTGTACAAAATAGTATCCTTACTCTGCTGTGTCTTTTTAACTTGCATGCATTTTTCTGAAATAGTGCATGGGGGCAAGTGGGAGGAAGCTCAAAAAATGTAGTGCTTCAAGCATTTTCCTGGTGCAGGATACAAACGTGGTCATCACCTCGAGAAAGCAAATTGACATCTTGGCTAAATGCAACAATGCCAGGCTCAGGCAGACAACTTTCTCTGTAAGGTGGAGTACAGTCCACCCTCAGGTTTCCAAGACCAGGACTGCACCTCTCTTTAGTCAGTAGAGAAGATACCATTGACAGATACAGGCAGAGCACTTCCGAGAAATGTGGAACATGCAGGTATTATTATTACTCCCACCAAAAACTCCAAATTCCATTCCTGACAGATAGCATAGCAGATAAAAGTGTTTTTCCTCTGGTTCCCCATGAAGCAAGCACTTGGTTTCTGCTCTGCATTTTGATCTGTTTGAGTGCAAATCACAGCCCTACAGCTGCTCATTAACCCACAGATGGCAGGCAAGCCATCACACAGATGGCCAACTCCAAAAGCAGCAAGTGTATATAGAACCTGAGCCAGTGTACTTACCAAGAACTAGCACAGATTGGGTCAGAGGAGGAGGCTGGAAGAAGGGAAGTGGGTGGACATTCTGTGATAATGAATGGGAAGGTCAGGAAGAGACGGAAAAAGAGTGATGCGTTTGGGTAGGAGAGGATGGAGATGCACATGGAATGTAGTGGAGAATGGAAGGAAAGGGAACAGAAGGAAAAGATCCGTGTCAGCAGCTGCTCCTGGAGAGAAAAAGGAAGAAATAGTGAAGGAGGAAAAAGAGAAAAAAGGACAAAAATCAGAAATACAAGAAGCAAAGAGGAAAAACAGGCACAATCCATTGCCACAAGGAAAGCATTCCGAGAAGTTCAAAGGGTAACAGCAGTGACAGAACACAAGAAGGGTTTCACCTTACTCTAAAACTACTAAAAAAAAATGATGGCTCCTGCTAGCTCAGGAGCAGGCTGCAGCATGAGTCCCACAGCCTGGCAAATGAGCAGCTTTACTGCTTGCTTAGCATTGGCTGCAGGTTCCCTTTAATCCAGATTCCCCCATTTGCTATACCTCAATTGTACGAGGTTCATTCCACAGGTAATTAAACAGACTGTCTCTAATGACATGCTACAGTAGCAGTACATTTAAAATGAACTGAAGTATAGATGGTATCTCTGAGCACTAAAACTGCTCCCAGCTGCTGAAATAATTCAAGTTAGGGATTCAGTCACATAACGCCCGAGACCCTGAAATCAAATGATCAGCCAAAACCCCCAAACTTATGAGAATGTGCTTCTTAAAACTATTTGTCAGCAAGCACTTTACTTTGAAAGAGCGTTTCTGAAGTCAGAAAAGCCACGTCTTCATCAGCACAGAACATTCTGAAGAAGCAACATGCAATATTCTGGATACAAACAGTGCATTATTTCCCCAGATTCCCCTGCTGAATTCTGTTGCCATCTTTGATGGTACTCCTTTCTACATTGCATAGAACTGCAAAGCTTTAGCAGTAGTTGGAGAACAACAAAGGAGGAGTTAGCCAGCTCTGCTTTCCATTCAGCTCATGTAATTAACAGAGATATTATCAAACTATTATTGTAGGAACAAATTCTGCTCCTAGCTGCTTTGCTGTTTTGCAGTGGGTCTAGAAAAATGTAAGATTTGCTTTCAAGAGTTGAGACATTTTTAAAACCTTGACTATAATTATTCTTCTGGTTCTTCAGCAGAAAAAGCTTTTTTTAGCCTAAGGAAATGGGGGGACAAGTATAGAAATCAGTAAGGAACTTGTGGTATCCTTCTATGCCATTTCTCATGCAGTTGTAGAACAGTATCTTTTAGCACAGGCACAGGTATGAAGCCAAACAACACCAGCAGACTCAAATGAATACCAGGCCTTGGAGAAAGACTGGAGAATTTCATCAGTGCAAGGTTCACACCATTGCTAAGCAGCAGACGATTCCATGCTGTAAGTACAGAGTAGTAGTTTTCTTCAAAATTCCACATGTACACAAACCAGCTCTTTTAAAAGCACTTCTTAAAGTGAAATGATATATTGTAAAATGAACCATGAGAAAGTCTGCAATCTTTAATGGTAGCACTTTCACTTCCATAAGGGCCTGATTCGTTGACAGCAGTGTGATTCGCTTCCATATCACACACTACAGTCAGTTTCTGAAATATTTTGCAAACAGAAATAAAAGTTCTCTATCAGTATCCACCAATTACTGCTGGCTCTCCATTAAGCACAGCCATAGTGTTGAACTGGCAGCTTCCATGAGTTGAACTATTGGTGATGGTTGGACTGGATGATATTGTAGGTCTTTTCCAACCTCAGTAATTCTGTGAATTCAAACCCACTGTGAAAACAGGGCTGACTTCAGAGTGCTCATCAAGAAAGAAAGAAACAAGGCAAAGGAGTAAAGAAAGCTCTGAGCTCACTCTGTGCGCATAGTGCTAAGTGAACTGTTTGGCCATTCTAGTGCAGTGCTGGGGCAGCATACAACTGGAAGCAGAAATGTAGAGCCTTTCACTCTTTATCACCTCCTGTTCTTGTGCCTGCATCATGGCAACTCTCACTATTAGTACAAGCTGGGGGTTATAAGGATAGAGACTGTCCAACCAAAAAGATTTGGATACACTGGTAGATGGCAAGCTGGACACGAGCCAGCAATGTGCATTCACAGCCCAGAAAGCCAACCATATCCTGGGCTGCATCCAAAGAAGCGTGGTCAGCAGAAAGGGAGGTGATCCTGCCCCTCTACTCTGTACTGATGAGGCCTCACCTGGAGTACTGTGTCTAGATCTGGAGTCCTCAGTATGGGAGAGACATGGACCTGTTAGATTGCATCCAGAGGAGGGCCACAAAAATGATCCAAGGGAACACCACTTTTATAGGGACAGGCTGAGAGAGCTGAGACTGTTCAAGCATGGAGAAGAAAAAGCTCAGGGGGGGACCTGATAATGGGCTTTCAATATGCAAAAGGGGGCTATAAAAAAAGAAGGGGACAGACTCTTCAGCAGGGCCTGTTGTGACAGGACAAGGAGGAATGGTTTCAAACTAAAAAAGAGTAGATTTAGACTGGATACAAGAAAGAATTTTTTTTATACAAGGGTGGTGTTGAAGCACTCACACAGTTGTCCATATATATAATGGTAAAAGGCAATTCAGAAAGCAGAAGTAGTTACTAAATGGGCCTACCTAGTCAGTGCTAAGGTTACACAAAAGCAAAAAGACAATAATGCAACACCAACAGAAACCAAGTGCTTGTCAATGAAGCGACTACATGGATATGGCTTATTTTAAAGCAATTATATATTATACTTCCATTATTAAGTGCGCACGCTTCAAAATAATACTTACTGATATCAATACTTTCTAAAACTTTTAGAAAAGTATAATCAAAATACAAATGATTTCAGTATTTTCAAGCAGTACACAAGCTCTGACCTTTATCAGATATAGCATTAAGACAGAGTGCAACCCTGTCTTGAATAAATATAGGATCTGAGTTTAGACTCCCAGCTGTTATAGTTACCTCTATACCACAGTGTATGGTGAGACTTTTTCTGATTGCAGTATGCAACATGAAGTTCACTAATGTTACACAGAAGCCCATGAAAAATTTGCTCGCAGATTTACAGTGATTTCTCTGATAGAGACTGAGCATTCCAAGACACATTGCCTTCACATGGCTTACCTTGCCCTCTGAGAATGAGCTTGACTCGATGTGGAGATATCATCAGCACCTGGCAAAGCAGTACTGGCATCATCTCTCTTGAATCCCTCATTTCTTCTCACTGGCAAACCAAAACAAATTAGTATAGGACTGGGCAACAAAGCATAAGGAGTAATCCCATCTAAAATTAAGGACTTAGCAGGGATTAATTAGATTTTCATCAAAGACAACTTAGGGGGAATCTGGTTTCTATGTTCCTGATATTAGACACGCAACCATTATGCAGTCATTTCAGTTCTCAGAGATCTTACTGCTTCCTCCAATGAAGGTAACAATACCACAAGCTCTTTGAGGAAGAAGACTAAGGCAAGACTAATTAAAAAAAAAAAAACAAAAAAAACAGCAAGAAAACCCCAGTCAATCAAAACCACAAAACCGCACAGAAATGCAGAGACATCTTTGCAGCATGCAATGTTTTTTTTTCAGTCGCGAAATGTAAAGTGGCAGAGACACCATAAAAAACTGCTCAGGAGCAGAATCAGAGCAGGTAGGTAAGGAGCAGTGCTACAGTTCACAGGAAGGGAATTAGGAAACCAGAATATTGCTGAGCTACTGTGTTTAATTTCTGTCTCTGAAATCTGACACTTTTCTATGATTTATGAAATAGTGGTCATTCTTTCCTCTTTTTGGTAATAGACTTAGTTGCTTTCCTGTTGACAAGTCATCTCCTTTGCTGATAAGTCCTATGCAGCAGCACTGGGATTCTACACTTAGGATTTGATTTTGCAAAGCATTTTGCTTTTGTCTCTGATTGTACCCACAATGAACAAAGGCAGCAGGAGGGCTCTTGGTCATGCAGACTTTGAAATTGTTCTTTACATTACAGGTGTTTTGCTGAACCCAGCAGTGCAGGCAACCAAAAGTAGCTCTCTCTCACCAGTACAGACCTCAGAAATTTTTGGCTTTGGGCAGATATTCTCAAGCAGCCTGGTCTGAATGGCAAGACATGAAACCAAAGTGAGTTTCAGGAGCCGTGCCTCGAGACCAAGATTATTACTTGCTGCTTGCTTCTACTTCCTAGGCTCTGTCTCAGCATTTAGGAGGATGACAGCCAAAAACATGAGGAAAGCTGAGAGTGGTGTGTACAGAGAGGCTGGGTGAGCAGCGCATACAGAACACACACAGGACAGCTGTACTCATTTTTCTTGGCTATTGTTTTCTTTTTACATTTTGATGAAATGGTTCATCTCCACCACTTACTATGACTTTCATCCTCTGTGGTTTCATCCTCTGTGCTCCTCTTGATGCCTTTTCACCATTTTAGCACTTCTCCAAAGAACATCTTAAGCATTTTTTTAAACGCTGTGCTGCCATGGTGGGAAGGAAATCCCTCCTGCTATTTCTCAATAAAAAACACTTCACACCATCTCCTGCTTTGCCAAGCCACTGATTTTGTAGAACTTACATGCACTTCTCACATAAGTAGATATTTTTGAATTACACCAAAATTTTTGGTTTATAAATTATCAACTATTTCATCCTCACAGAGAAGCCTTCTGAAGACCAAATAATTAAAGCATACATGTTCTATATAAAGCTTTTGCAATTTACTAGAATTGTACGCCAGCAACAGCTTGATTGTTTTTGTGCCTGGGAAGGCTGCATACTATTTAGATCAAGTCCTCCAGGGAAGTTAACCATTTCCACCTATTCCTGACAAGTTCTCTTTCAGAATGTGAAATGTCAAACTCATTTCTGCACAGACTGCCAACTGTGCTGAATTGTATGCAATTATGTAATTACATGAGATCATCTTACAACTTCAGACTAGTGGTAATTACCAAGCCTCCTACTACAGATTTAGACTTCCCTCATCTTTTTTCTTTTGTTTTTCTTCAAACAATTTTCTTCACTTTTTTTTTTTTTCCTGTTTTGTTATTTTTTTAAGCAGATAACTTACCTTGCCTGAAATCTGCTTCTGAAGAAATAATGGATGGACTTTCACTCGAAGTACTGTAAACATCGCTGTGGTATGATTTGTACCTTCTCAGAGGCTCTGAAAGTTGAAATAAGGCTATGAGAATAGTAAGAGAACAACAGTTCTAATGTAGAATCAAACACAGTGCAATGAAATGTGCTCTGTTCTCAGTATTTTGAATGCCTCTCTGTGCTTAGGAAGCATGAAAGCCAAGGACACCTGGCTTGGTAAATCCACAGGGCTGCTTCCACAGCCCAGGGTTCTGGGGGCTGCTGGCCTTCTCCTGGCTGATTGGGGAGATCCACTCCTCATAACTCCCACTCAGAATTACTCCCGAGTTAAAACTGATGGTTAAAACCCAAAAAATTCACCAAACAAAGAGAAACAACCAAAAGGCTGAACAAAATCAACCTCTATCACCCAACCCCAAAGTGATGTACACGCCTGTGCACACCTTTCATGTGTAGAACGCGACAACCGCAGCCCAGCCCCTGGTTCCTTCTCTATGAAAGAGGAAAAACCCTCACAGCAAGAAAGCGAGAACTGGAAAATTATAAATCACTCACATTTGACAACCGAAAAAAAAATATCTTAATCAATTAATGAGTCTCTCCAGGACTTTTACTGAACCAGAACAAACTGCATTTGAAGAGAAATCAGAACCACACAGCCTCAACTGCTCCCATCGGTGGATTCTTCAACACACTGAAGCAATGGAGGCAGTGGAAAATCCATGGTATTTGCAACAACCTCCCAGAACATTCTCGCATGCAGGCCAGTGAAAAACCACACAGTGTTTCTAAGCAGGAAAGAAATAAAAGAAAAAAGCCTCCATCGTTTACCACTTCAGGATCTCTCTCCAGTTGTCCTTTCCAGAAGGCCTTTGGCCCAGGTAAAGGTAACATTCTAACAGCTGTAGATACAAATGCAAAGCAAGGCAGTAAAAAATGGAAAGGTTGGAATACAAAATGCTGAGCAATGGGGCAGGCAGCAGAAGCAGACTTGAAGTTACTCCAGAGTACAGGTGGAAGAGATGTTAACCCAGTGGTACATCTTCTGAGAGACAATTGTTAACAATGAGATTATTACACAGAAATAACAAAAACATCTTTTCTGTTTTATCCAGTGCTGTTGAAAATACAACCAGAAAACAGAGCTCTTTTCTAACACAAATTCAGTTAATTTTGCTTCCCCCTTCTAGAATGGAGTAAGAAAACCAAACCACATGAAACTAACAAAGAACCCACACATAATGGTGAAATGGAACAACTTCACTTCTTCTAGGGATGGCATGACGCAGTTAAAAAAAAAAAAAAAAAAAAAAAAAAAGAAATGAAGGAAAGGGGCAAAAACCTCCAGTATGAAAAATGTTCTTATGGAAAACCAGTTATTTGCTGTTTAGAAAGGAAGAAATTGAACTCAGTTGGCAAGCTAAGATGCCTTGTTTGGGAACTAGGAGCAGCTTTTTTTCAGCAGGGCAAGCACTCTACCTTGCAAACCCAGCACTAAAATCCCCTCCCCTTTCACAACTGTTACTTCAATACCCTGGATTTTAATGCAAAGAAATTCACCATCAACCTAGCCATTACTTGACTAAATAAGGAAACAAAGCCCAAATTTGGTAGGGAGCCTTTTGCTGTGTTTTGTTACAATGCTCCCACCCCTTCAAACAAAGCATCCACCATACCACAATACAGCAGTTACAGTGCAGAAACACTTAAATGAAAGTAGATCTCCTCTTTCCCAGCAGTTTTATCGACTGCTGATTTTGCAAGTCTGCTGGCTGGCTTTGATGCAAGAGGAAAGCAAGGGCACAATAAAGTACAACAGGAGATTTTGAGCAGATCTTTTTTCCACTCAGTCAGCAGCTGGGCTTCCTGAACAACACACAAACCGTGCCTCCAGTCCGCTCCTTTGAGACATGGCATTCTGCACAAAATCCATGTAAGAACTTTAAATCCATGTAAAGCAGCTGAGCTCCCAAGCCAAGGAGCATGCAGTCAGAGTCCTGATCTGATTGCTGTGGGGCATTCTCTCATTGGCAGCAGCTCCCGGCTCTCAGCTGTTGATGTGATATATGCACACATCCTGACCACATGAGATCTTTGCCAGGGGCACAGACAGGACGTGCAGGGCAGACCAGCAAGCACTGGATTCAATACTGACATTACCACATCTGCTGTGCTTGGAAAAACTCACCAAATAACTCATGCTGCCTTCTTTCCTCAGCACATCCTTTTTAATTCTAACACATCACACTGAGATTTAACTTCAGACAAGACACATGGATCTTGGCCAAACCAAACTCCTTCTAAATAAGGGCTGGCCTCCAAAGGTCATGAGCCCTGACTCTGGGATCGAGGTAAAGTTCGGCTCTTCATGCAATAGTTACAAAAACAAGGATGAGCTTCCAGCCCAGTTGGTGGGAAGACGAAAGATGAAATCCGCAGCAGCAAATGAAGGGAATAAAGAACTTTTCTCCACAACCATAGCTTTCCCCAGGACTTCTTTTTAACAAACCTTGCTGTTTCACACCTGGTGACTAAGGAGAGAGCATAGGATTGATTTAACTCCTAGAAATATCAAACACACTGTTCAAAACTTATTCTACCAACAGCTTTTCCTATATATCACACCGTTAGGTGACAGTCTCTTAACAAAACACCCTAGGTCATTCCATACCTTAGTGGAAAGAAAAAATAATGAAACAAACACAAAAACTACCTCTGAATTTAAGAACATTCTAAGAATCCATGACTACAACATCCGTATAAAACTTGTGATCCAGCCAAAGCTAGCACCAGGTACCACCCAACGCAGGATGAGCAAAGAACCCAGGCCGCGTCGCTCAGTGCTGAAGTGGTACTTTTCCCACTTCCCCACAGAAAGCAGCAGAGCACAACCCCACAGACCTCACCTAGCACAGAACAACAAAAGGCAGTATTTGTGCAGGGCAAGGCATGCGAGCCCAGACACGTCACTACAGAAAGTCTTGTCCCAGCCAACTGCAACAGAAATCAGAACCGCATTCAACTTGGAATGCCATTATCCCGAGCACATGACTCACATTAGATACACTGGTTTTCAAATACATGTTATTGCAAAATTATGACTGGTTGTACAGAGAAGGAAAAGGACTGAGACAATGTCAGAGTTAAAGGAGTAGTTTTGTGAAAAGGTGCTAGTCTGCTCTGTGGGTTGTAGAAGTAAGCGTCTTTGTTAGCAGAGTTACATTATAGTATCACTAACAGTCCTTTGAGGAGGGCCGGGATGTGCTTCCCTCACAAGGGTTTAGCAAATAGGTTGACTCATGTTCACCCTTCTTTTTCCTCTTTCCATCTAATCAAGCTTCAATGACCTTACGCAAGGCAGAACAGCACAGGTGCAGGTGGGAAGACTATGGAGACCCAGTCTGAATTCCTAGTGAGGATCCATCCGGACAAACAGCCACGGGAAGAAATCTGTTCCTCTGGGGGAGCAGTCTCAACCCTTGTTTTTAATACACAGTTGCCACACTCTGAACAGAAAAGCTGTACTGAGCATACCAACCACGTCACCACTCTGACCGCTCAGAGAACCTAATGGTCATCTGATAGGCAAGGTCTGGCACCATCTGGGTGACAGGCAGGAGCAGAACTGTGTAGAACTGCCAGTCCCACACATTTCCAGGGCCAGAAGGGGGAAGGGCAGCAAGAATTCGGTGCCTTCCACCATTTTTTTTCTGGACCTTGATCACACCATCCAGGACGAGGCGTGCGTGCACACTACACACACTCTCATACACTGGCTGTAAGTATGACAAACACAGTCTGCTTTGGTTTTTGTTTGTTCTTAAATGTTTTGTTAGACTGAGATAATCCCAAACCTGTTCCCAGACAGTGCTAGCTGCTGCAGATATGACAGCAGATAACACCTGCCACTCTGCAGGGCAGTGATGGGATTACAAGGTCTGTTTTATACCTGATGCCAGAACACTTGAATTTTAGACTGTGACATAAATTTTCTTTCATGAAAACCCAACTTCCATAGGTTTGGTATAATTTATGATTGAAGTTTTTCCTTAAGTTAAAGCAGTTCATTATCCCACCCTTCAGCTTCACAGCCGTGATCTGTGATCACTGTTCAAGCTGAACTCGGTCCACACCGGACATACCAACCACATGACAAACTCATCGCACCACCACTGCATTTAAATCACCCTACAGCACAGTGATGGTAAAACATGTGTCAGCTGAGCCTCCGTTTGCTTCCACACGCATACTGTGATCATTACTGTGCATTTCCCCTACTTCACCTACAGAATAATTGAGTAAATACAATCCAGCTGAAAGAAGTGTGCATTTCACTGGATTCACAGAGATGAGTGGTGCGGTTGATACGGTGGAAGGAAGGGATGCCATTCAGAGAGACCTCAACAGGCTTGAGGGCTGGGCTCGGGTGAACCTAATGAGGTTCAACATGGCAAAATGCAAGGTTTTGCATTTGGGCCGGAAGAACCCCAGGCACCCGTACAGGCTGGGAGGAGTGGTCCTTGAGAGCAGCTCGGCAGAGAAGGACCTCGGGGTCCTGATGGACGAGAGACTGAACACGAGCCAGCAGTGCGCTCTGGCAGCTCGAAAGGCAAATGGGATCCTGGGCTCCATCAGGAGAGGGGTGGTCAGCAGGGAGAGGGAGGAGATTGTCCCTCTCTACTCGGCTCTTGTGAGGCCCCATCTGGAGTACTATGTCCAGGTGTGGAGCCCTCAGTACAAGAAAGACATTGAGATTTTGGAAAGGGTCCAGGGGAGGGCGACTAAGATGATCAGGGGGCTGGAGCACCTCCCCTATGAGGACAGGCTGAGGGAGTTGGGCTTGTTCAGCTTGGAGAAGAGAAGGCTGCGGGGTGACCTCATTGCAGCCTATCAATACCTGAAGGGAACCTACACCCAGGAAGGGAGCAAACTCTTCAAAAGGGCTGACAACAGCAGGACTAGGGGAAATGGATCCAAGTTGAGGGAGGGAAGATTTAGTTTGGATGTTAGGGGGAAGTTCTTTACAAGGAGAGTGGTTAGGCCCTGGAACGGGCTGCCCAGGGAGGCTGTGGATGCCCCGTCCTTGGACGTGTTCAAGGCCAGGTTGGACGGCGTCCTGGGCAACCTGATCTGAATGTGTATATTTGGTGGCCCTGCTAGGCAGGGGGGTTGGAACTACATGATCCTTGAGGTCCCTTCCAACCCGGGTGATTCTGTGATTCTGTGAGTTTGTAGGGAAGGTTCCTATTCTGTGCTAAACCCCATCTCCCACTTCATCACTTCTCCAGCAGCTTCCCAATTCCAGTCTGTCACGTGCATGTACTGTCTGCAGACATCTTTCCTCATTCACAAATGCAGCTTCAAACTATGGGAGTCTTTAAAATCTGGAACATGTGGAGTACCCCCAGACATCCACCCCTTGTTCCCAATCCAAACACAGCAGCCATGACATGGAAGCTTTATAAATGGGGTCCGGATGAGTCTGCACAGGAATTAACACTTGGTGAGATAAACACACCTGTGAGGCAAAGGCTGATCTCTGGAGGCACAGAACACTACTGTCTGCTCTTGTTGACTCCATAGAGAAAGCAGCAGTAAGCCAAGAATAAAATCTTCCTTTCAGTAGGAAAAATCAAATGTAAAAAGAGAGAGGGATAAAACCAAACTGAGGCTCTGGAACTCACATGGCTCCAACTGCAAAACCTTTTAACAAAGTCTTGGGAATATTCCCAAACCACCCCCACATCCCCACCCCTGTAGTCACATTCCAAAGCTTCATCAAGATCCAGTTTCTGTTATCCTCCCCTATTCCTCCTCTCGTCTGCTATTTGCTGCACAGCCAGCCCTGCAGCATTGCCCTCAAACCAGGCCATGTGCCCCTGCACCAGGACATGGCAATCCTTGCTCCCCGTTCCCTCATGTAAAAGACGGAACGTATTTTCTCTCTAAGCAGAGATGTCACCAAGGGTGCCAAGGAAAAACTGCCAGGGTTTAAGAGAACAACAGAATCAGCTCATTTGGTACCAATAATTGCTCGGTTTTAATTAAGCTCCCCACAACTCTGTTACAAAAATAGGAATGAACAATCACAGATGAGACACAGCACTTATTCTTCCATTTCTTGACATGATTAAAGCACATTTTGCAATCTGCTCTGAGTGTTCAGAATTGGCTGCTGTATCCCTGAACTGGAGAGCAGTCCCCTGCTCTTCCCCTCCCACCTTCTGGCACCCGAGAAAAGTCCCAAACTTTCCTTAGCATACAGCACATAAACACAGTGCAGAAGAAGAACACAAAGACAGCAGTTCGTCAGCACCCGAGGCATCCCGGCTGCAGATTACAGTGCAGTTTGGATGTTCAGTAGCTCACTACAAACAATCCTACTACAGCACAGCTGTAATTAAAGCTCTGTCATTCTTTCCACTATAAACACTACTTTTCATGAGTTTATAATTTAGGTTGTAAAATCTGCTCTGAGTGCAAGCTTGGTGTACTGGAGCCTGAGCATGAGAACATTCTTTTTTTCCAAGACAGCCAGCTCCTCAAGGCCTTGTGAATAACGGAACAGTTTGCCAGCTCAACCCAAAATAAGTTAAGGGAGAAATAAGCCACGTGTCACTTAAATTCCTATGTAGATTGAAGAGGGAACTTATATCTGGCATACCAAGTCGAATGCCATTTTACAGTTCAGAAACTGAAAAAAACAAGTTACAGCTGCAGGCAGGCCTTACTCAAATCTAACATGCAACCTTGACCTGGGTTCAGCTGGACTGCAAATGGCCCCACCACATCACCAAAGAGGGAGATAACCTCTGCACTGCTGAGCCCAGCCCCAGGCTGGCTCCCATGGCTCCTAGCCCATCCCACAATTCCATGCTGGAGCAGAACCTTCACTGCTGACAACCAATCTGTTGGAACACCTTGTTCTGCTGCTCCTCCTTCCTTCTTTCCAAAGTTAACCATATGAAGTGGTGGTGGTGCTGTATGAACCTTCCAATCCAAGCCATTCTGTGATTCTATGATTCTAATTCCTATATAAAAAAACATTCCCTATTCATTGTCCTAAAACACCTCTTCTAAATGGCTCTAATTAAAATATCATATTCACACTCTGCTATTGGCTCCCAACTTATAAGTAGAGAAAAATGGAGAATCTAAAATAAAGCTCTAAAATAAAGCTCATGGAACTCTAACTACAACACAAGAGTGAAAAGCACCTTCTTCTTCTATCAAGAGCAGAAAAGAATACTGCAGTCCAGCTATCTGTTGAGAAAGTACCTAAGACTTTTTCCTAGCAAGCAATGATTATGAATTTCTTAGGATGGGCAGTGACTCACTGTAACTGCTTCCATCTGCCCTGTATAGATTTGTCGCTCAGCTCGTCTGACTACAGAGCCCCAGTTCCTGGTTTGCTCACCCATTCCCCAAATGAATTGCACAGTTTCACACATCTGACCCATCTCAGATGGCAAGACACAGGAGGCCTGTTACATTCTCTGCTATTTACCAATCTGTTTGACTGAGAATGAGAAAGCCTTACTCATCAAGGGGTTCGGCCTAGCTTTTGGTTTTGCTGTTGTGCAACACCAACCTGCACAAAACTGAACTCCTGACCAACAAAGCTGGTTATCTTTGCTAATGCAGGGAGTGGTCTCCTCTTGCACTCTATGAGGTGCCTATCTCTACTATCTCTAAACATTTGAGGTGACTCACACATTTGATATGGTCCCCTTCAATTCCACACTCTTGAACCAAAACCACAAACATCCCCCTTTGCAACATCAGACATCTCAGTAGATAATTACAGATGGTGAAGTTCTATTCTGAACAAACAATGGTTATCTCTACAGTACTATTTCCATCTACATTCATTCCTTCACTTGATAATGTAGCCCTCATTAAAAGATGTCAATATGAGGACACAAAAAATCTCCATGTGTCCTTTCTGCACAATTGTTACAGCAATCACAGCAGGTTTTTAAACTGCCTATGCCTTGTCAATACTGCTCCTTCTCTCTGAAGCACAAGGCTCATGTGCATGGGAGAGAAAGAATTAACTTCCCAAGCAACCTGCAATATAGGCTTCTCCTGGAATCACGACAGGAGTGATTTTGGCAACTTCAACTCTGATAAAAGGCTTTATCATTTCTTCTTAACAGAGATGTTTCTGAGGAGGTCCTTACATCTCAGAGCAGAACAATGAGACAGAAAAAACATCACATAGTCATTATTTCTGCCATAAGACAGCCAGGTGAGTTTTCAATTGTGTGGACTTTGTACAAATTAGAATAAATCACTCAACTAGCTCTGTACACACAGCTTTTCCAGCTTATACCTTAGATAAATAAGTTATATCTTCTGGCCATCAAGAACAGGTTCTGACTCGGCACTCAGTTCCAATTCAGCTGAACTATATTTATAACCCCTGAAAATCAAGTCACATATTCAAAACAAAAAAATACAGTTTCTCATCATATGGCTCCACATGAAGATGTTTTCAGAAGTTTCCACAGAAGCTTTTTTCCTCTCCCCATGTTCTTTAAATTAACCAGGGGAGCTTGCTGATAATTATTCTCACCGAGGTAAAGATCTTAACATAAACCCAAAAGAAATTACATACTTATGGGCTCAACTGGATCATCCAGAATTATACAGAGCAAAACCACAGATTTCCAGGTGACACACCTCTTTTTCTCTGGGTTATAAATCCATTCCTAATAACTGGAGAGGAATATTTTCTTTGAAGGGAAATCACTGTTGCCAATATTATTTTTTCCTAATTTCACTTGATACTAGCTGGCTTAAAGAGAGCAACTTTCTTTACTGAGAAAGTAATCTGCACAAGCACTTTCATTTTTATTGGCAGCAAATGTTCTAATACTGAAATTTTACTTAAAAATAGAAGGCCAAGGTAAAACCTCAGTAGTTCCAAGAATTGCTACAAGAGAATTCAAATTTATCATAAAGAGAAATCTCTGTTTAGTGACTGGAATAATTCAGAACATCTGAAAGGTTCACTAACCTTCTACATTCATGGCTTCCCTCAGGAGCTGCAACTTCTTCTGTCTCTCCCTTATCCTGTCAAAGGCACTCGATATTGCTGCAGAAGTTGATGTCTCAGGCACATGGCGTGTTTGGTCCAGTTTCTGAGGTCCAAAGATATCCAGTGCTATGCTCCCATCGGAGTATCTCGCTTCTTTGTTTCTGGTCATAGTAGAAGTTCGTACAGCAAAGGTCTCACACTGATGACTGTACTTGTGAGAGTCTGAAGAATCTCTCTCAGCTGCTTTGCTGGTCGTGCAAAGCAAGTCTGTGGAAGAAGCCCACACCTTCCGCTTGGGAGCTGCATCTGTGTGGAGGTGACTTTTGTTTTCAAACTCATTGGTTTTACATCTGTAAGGATAGAAAGAATCTTCCTGTCCCGAGTTGTAATCTGAGGAAATGCCCTGGAAAAATTCCTCCTCGCCTTGTGTTCCTCTCATGGCCAGAAATCCCATCGACTTGCTAAGCCCTTTGTTAAGCACTGTCTGTTGAGAGAAATGAGTCTTGTGTTCGTCACGTGCATCAACCACTGAAGCTTTTCCTGGAATAAGGAGACATTTCATATAAGTCATGTTATATTTAGTACACAGGAGTGCAACACACATTATGTTCTTGAAAGCACACACTAAGCATGCATTTGACATTGACTTCGTCATGTGAAACACTGAGATAGCTACTTAAAGACTGGCTCAGTCAAAGACAAAACTCCAAGTACCTCAACTCTGAGAAACATTCCATCTCATTTCTGAAGAGCTAGAGGAAAACTAGTGCCCCTCCTAATTCAGCAATAATGTTAAGAAGTACTACTAGCTATGCACTGGAATTTGATTTCTCATTAATTCTGTTGAAGTCTGGACGAGCACCAGAAGTATGGTGTGATGATTAATCTGAAATCAGCGACTCCTTTCACCCCTCACACCCAAACACCCAACCTACAATTTTTAATCACCTCCAAACAAGTCTAGGTTTGTTCCACGGATGTACAGATGCCTTGCAGTACTATCAGTAGTAAGGGAAGAATGACTGTGTAGTTTGGTATTACAAAAATCCCCGCTTTTCCTGTAACTTTTTTTGGTAATGACTGGTTTTGGTGATAACAGTCTCTCAGTACGCTGAATGCTCCAGAACAAAAAACTGACAAAGTGTCCAAGGTCAAGACGATTCTGTGAGCCTGCACACTTAAAGTTTTGTCATAATGAGCACTGCCTCCCCGTCCTTGGATGTGTTTAAGGCCAGGTTGGACGGGGTCCTGGGCAACCTGATCTGAATGTGTATGTTTGGTGGCCCTGCTAAGCAGGGGGGTTGGAACTACAGGATCCTTGAGGTCCCTTCCAACCTGGGTGATTCTGTGATTCTGTGATTCCTTCTCACTTACCACGAAATAGCTCTCAGATTAGAAGAAATTGCCTGAGGTGGAATGTTAGCAGAGAAATGTATATTCTCAGAAGAATACCATACCACCGTCACTGAAAGGTTTTGATACTTATGTTCATCTCAGATGCAACATTTTGTAAATGTACATGCCTAATTTTACAGAACTAATTACAAGCATCAGTAATGACATTTCTTAATATTCACAGATGAACTGAAAGCCTATTACTCTTGCTAAGGCTTTCTGATCTCAACATAAAATAATAATAACCGTTTAGAGTCAACTTACAGAAGAAAAAAAAAAAAAAAATCAGTATCAGAGACTGCTATCTCCTGTAGGGAAAACTAATATATTTTGATTCTTATGCATTATTAAAATTATAAAAAATCTGAAGTCTATTTTAGCACTCTACTCTGTTGCAGTAGTCTACTCATAGCACCCACTGATCAAATATATTGCATAAATTACTATGAAGTCTAATGTTTTCAACCTGCAGAACACTCACTGCCTGACTATGGAATCTAAGCTTTCTCATGGTTTTCTCATCAAGAAAAGCCATCAGGGCTCTGTTCTGTTCAGGACCACCTAAGTACTGTCTGCCCACTCAACTGGAGATGTACAGCCTTTCCTAGAACTAGCTCCTTTCCCAATGTGTTATTAATGCATACATCTTCTAAGAAAAATCTGCCTTGAAGCCCTCCTCAGAACAGCAAACAGCCTTGAGTTCAGAGTACATGAACATGCTGTGCCCTAGACCCATCCTCTGAGCTATCTCTCCTATGCTCAGCAGGAGGGAGAAATCAAGGGCCACATCTAACACAGTGGGCCTGTGCTGATCTTCCTATAATTTGTCATCCTTTTGCACTCAGTTCCACTGAATAGGGGATGACATTGGTAGCTGCACTCAAAAATGCTTTAAAAACTTGTGGTTTTGTACAATTGGACTCTGATACTCTACTTGAATGGGGGCTCTTTCCTTTCATTTTCTGTTTCAGCGATAGTAAGCTGAAGACAGGTGCTTAAAGAAAATCAAACCAAAATGCTCCTTGCCTTTTATCCACATGTAGACATCTGATAGTAAAACATTAGGGTTCTGATTGTCCAAAAGGTGCCTTGTAAATAATTACTGTTCCTACATATTCCAGAAGGAAAAAACAATAAAAGAATAAAAAAAAATGTTTGCCAATGAGAATGAATTTATCTTCCAAAACAGTGGGACACATCACTCCATATTTTACAAACACAGTCCTAACATTAAACTCAATGCAAAGTATTTATCTTTGTGGCAAGATAAATCTCATGACATGTCATTATCTATTTTGCCACTCTCTGACCAAGCGCATCCCACAAGGCTGGTGAATTACACGCCACATTCAAGGGCACAGTAAGGCCTTTCCACAAACAGCCTGTCACAGTGATGTTCCCACCATCTACCCAAGGCAGTGCGACAATACCCATTTCGCAAACACATACTTCATAGTCATGCACCTCTACATCAACAACAGACATTCCTAAAAGGGTTCTAACTCTGGGATTAGAGACGAGAACAAAAATTTAAAAAAGCAAAACGCTTCATGATTTCAGAGTCACACCAAAACAGCAAATCAAAAGGAACAACAAGATCAGATCTGCTACGCACAGGCGAGAAGCAGCAGTGGATGAGCAAAGCCAGCAGTGAACAAATATAACTGGGAAGGAGCACTCTCTACACTCCGCTGCAGTTCCATGGCAGTGCAGAACTCAGCCTCAGTGCAGCAGGAACCGTTCTTGCTCATGCAGTGGCTCAGAAAACGCAGACTTTCTTCTTCTTGCCTTACTCACCCAACAGGGAATCCCTCATGAGGAAAAGTGAAGGCCACATGTGCTATCTCAACAGCAGTGGCTGGGAAATCACTCACTGCTGCAGCTTCCTCACTGATTCAGCTAATTGTGCAATGAGAAAGGGCATGAGGTGTCCCATCAGGAAACACTGGAGGAGAAACTTTACTTCCGCACTGCCCTTCCACTCCACAGCCTGGTGATGCCTACAGGTCATTCTTCACCTTGCTTCCACACTGACCTACGTTCCCAATGTGTGGTTTTAAGCACATCACCAAAAGAAATCATGGCATGCCTTAGTATTTGCCTTTGAGACTGTAAAATTTTTGTGGACGTCTTTCTTCTTTCCTTCCCCTTCTCATTCCCACTTTTGCTCTTCACCAGTCTTGGCACTTCTTCCCAACTGTGCAAGACCCATCCTTCTCAATATAATCTGATTTCACTCAGCTCCCTTCAGACAGCTTCACAGTGTCACCATGAGCTGTTTGAGAAACATGTTTAGAAAGAGAAGAAGAAAAGCCCGTGGGACAAAGGGTACAAAGCCCAAAGTTGGGCATCCTCAGAAGGATACAAACAAAACAGCAATAGGTATTTTCATGTCCACACTTTGCAGCGGCCAAGAACCCGTGCTGCCCACTGCCCCTGAACTGTGGTCAATACAACAATCAGAATACAAAGCTTCTCAGTGAAGAAGAAATTCAAACTGCAGGAACCAGAAAACAAAGTGAATTATCAAATCTGAAGCAACCAGCAATCATGCCAAGCTAATTCTTCCTTTTACAATAATCCTATTCCCACTCCTCCTAAACTGTACAAGCAGTACTACCACTACTGTCACAAAACCAACCACTGTAGAACTTCTGCTGTTTCTCCTGGACTTGCACAACACAGTACCTCAGTGTTACCTGTATCAAAAGGTCTTCAACAACTGCAGTACATCTCTTTCTGCTCTTAGCCCCCACCTCTACCTTTCCACTGATGGTACACTTCCAGAATCACTAGTGCTTCCTTAATGCCACAGTCTTCAAAGCACCTACATAATATATCTCTAACGTCTATTCTCAGTTGCATAGCATACACAAGTCCAAAATCATTAAGCCAGTATACAACTTACCCACTGCATTTAAATTTCAGCTTTTATGATGAAACGTGTGGCAAAAAGGAGGACTGCCAGTGAAAAATTGTATACTAAGCATCAAAAAGAACCTATCTACACAATTGAACATTTTCATCTTTAAATTCTAATGCCTGGCAACATTTCCATTATAAACTTCCTTTGAGAAATGGCTTCTGTTTCTAAGGGAAGCTCTTGTGACCTCTCTGAAGTCTCTTGGCTCTGGAAAAGACATTAAGCACCTCACCTGACACCACACAGGAGTTACTTTGTGCTCCAGCTCCCAGCAGTGTAACAGGACAGAGAACTACTGCTCTGCATCGCAGAAAAGGGGACAGGTCAATCCAATAGCAGTTAAGATTCTACAGCATTGAAGTCCTAACAAGAAGCAGGCTTTCCCCTTCCCCAGTAACTTCTCTGTTAAAACCAACTCTCAGAATACTACCTGAGTTCTCCATTTCTCATATCGCCTGTGGGTGTTTATCTTCTACTTGATTTTACATTAGTGCAATTATTTATAATTACTGTAAATAATTCAAATGCAATTATATTAATTGTATGATTCCAAAGTATAATATATAGTGAGAGAATACATACCATAAGAATAGCAATTAATCACCAAGAATTCACAAAAAAACCACCAACCTTCTGGTGCTAACATCAAAATTTAAATTTCCACCCTGGTACAAAAGACAGAAGTTACATTTTCTACATGACTACGGACCTGCTACCTTTATTGTCTTCAGCTTCAAACACAAACATACTTTTTCCTGACAGTAGTGCTATTTACAAATCTTCACTCTAACTGCCTGTAACCTTGGCAATTTTCACCTGAGCTGTAGAGCTGCATCTGTTCCTAACCCAATTCAGCTTGTCTGCAATCACCTGTGTGCTTGCTTGATCACACACACAATCAATGAAATGTGATGCAAGTGCAAATGGCATAATGCAAACACAGAGTGTATTTATTTATATAAAATAAATTAAGTGCACATTTGTTGAAATCCATTCTGATCACCCTTTTTTGTTTGCAAAAACCAGAAAGCCTTTTTAGCTGCCTTTTAGCAGAGGTTGTGGGTATGTGCAGTACATCATACACACACTGGAAGGCAGGGAAGAAAGAGAGAGGCTGCCTACACATACATGAAAGAGTGGACTATTGTTACAAGACCATGAGGTCTGAAAAGAGGAAGTGGTTCTATGTAAGTTTACAAAACACCTCCCACACTGTTAATGT